CCATTTTAGACCTTCTGATCTCTAGAACTCTAGAATGTGGTTTTTTGTTTAAAATCACTAAGTTTGTGGAAATTTATTAGAGCAGTAATAGGAAGTGAATACACTTGCCTTTTCCCAGTTATTGACATGTACATTTTGTTTTAAATCCACTCTACTCCAATACTGTGAGAAGAAAATATGGAAACTAGCCTAAGTTTTAAAGCTTGTTTTTCACATTTAGGTTGCCACAATCCATCTGGAACTTACTTTTATGTGTGGAGTAAAGCAAGATTCTAACTCTATCTTTTTCCATGTAAAGAGCCAATTGTCTCAACATCCATTTATTTAATAGTTCATAATAGCCCCATTGTAATCTACTTCGGTCACCTTCCAATTCCATTATTTATGTAGGTCAGTTTCTATGTTATCCTGTTCCACAGTTCTGTTTTCTCTCCTTGCACCAATACCCACTATTTTAATTACTGCATATAATGCAATATATATTTGGAAGGACAAGTGACCTTGTCTGTTGTTCTTAGTAAGAAAAGAAAAGTATCTTGGCTATTTTGGATCTCTATCTTCCAAATTTAGGATAAGCTTGTCATGTTTTACCATCTCACCCTAAAAAGACCCTCTCCTAGGAAGGCAAAAGATTCTGTAAGCATTTTGCCTGAAGTTGTATTAGTTTGGAGAGGACCACAACCTCACCATATTAAGTCATTTCAATCTATGCTGATGCATAGGAGCACATGTACCCCAATGTTCATAGCAGCACTCTCCACAATAGCTAAAACATGGAAAGAGCCTAAGTGTCCATCAATGGACAAATGGATCAAGAAGATGTGGTTTATCTATACCATGGAATACTACATGGCAATGAGAAACAATGAAGTCTGGCCATGTGTAGCAACATGGATGGACCTTGAGGGGGTTATGCTGAGCGAAATAAGTCAGGCAGAGAAGGACAAATATCATATGTTTGCACATATAGGAGGATTAGGAGGAACTTGACGGAGGAACAAGGGGGAGAAGAAGGGGGGAAATAGTGGGGGAAAGGGAGAGAGGCAAACCATGAGAGACTCTTGAATGCTGACAAAAACTGAGGACTGATGGATGTGGGGGGGAGGGGGGATGGGCATGGAGGAGGACACTTGTGGGGATGAGCACTGAGTGTCATGTGGAAACTAATTTGACAATAAACTATTTGTAAAAAAAAAAAAAAAATAAGTCATTTCAATCTATAAAATATTGTATCTCTTCATCTTTTATGCCCTTCAATAAAGTTTTTAAAATTTTCTCCATAAAGGACTTACTCGCCTTGCGGTTTGACTTATTCTTACGTACCCTATAGTTTCACTGGCATTTACCTCGTATCCAGAAACTTTTCAAAACTTTCTATTAAGCCTAATAATTTATCTGTATATACTCTTGACAACTTTGTTTCTTTATATGTTTTTTGTTTTGTTTTGATCTTATTCAAGTGTTTGGGGCTCCAGAATAATGTTGAATAGAAATGGTGATAGTAGACACTTTTGTCTTCTGCCTAAATTTAACGGGAAATGCTTCAAATGTCTCACTACCAAATGCGATGCTTAGTCTTCAGGGTTTTACTGGCTTGCATTTTTAAATTATACACAACAGTTAAAACTATTAACTAAATATGGATTCAGATGAAAAGTTTAATACTAACCAAACTCTTACACACTTTATAAACTCATTGCTTCCTCTCATTCTGTGGCTGGATTTAGTCTTTGACCATTTATAGCTGTGTACCTTATTCAGCATGCTTGCACAGAATCAATCACTGCCTTGCCAATTTTTATTCTACCTCTTAATATTATTATGTCATCACAGTTATAATTTCATTTGGAGTTTTTCTACAGCTTCTTGTTACAATGTTTCTTTTGCTTTGCCTGCTTATAGCTGCCAGGATTGGATTATTACTTCAAAGGAGGCCAACTTCCATGCCAGGCCACCATGGAGACACTAAAGAAGCAATGAGCAGAATGCTGCTCCCATGGAAACGCAATAAAAGGTCACCCTACACACTACTGGGCCAATGCTTAAAGGATTTATAGAAGTTCCTGACTCACCTCCAGCTCCTAACCAACTGTTCTGGGGACTGTTATATGGCATAACCTTATTGAAAGCTAATATATTATATTATTCCCTCAGACCATAGGAGTCCTAACGCTGGATATATTGTTTTGCATGCCCAATTAGAAATATACCCAGGATGCTTATTTGCAACAGAACTAAAGGCTGCCAAAGATTTGAAAATACCTAATAACTTCTTTACATAGGAGTTAACCGAGGTACAAATAAATTAAGTGATTTTCCCGATATCACCTCAGTGAGAAGCAGAACTATAAAATATGCTCCTAAGGTCCTTTCATTGTAAAATGACTGCAAATTATCCATGGATTTCTAGAATGTAACTTATGTCTGGACAAACAGAAATCAGCCTGGAGCAAACTGTCATCTGCAAAACATACTGATGTTGTATGAAGAGAAGTCTTAAAACTCTTCAATATTAGACTATTATGACACTTTAGCATTAATTTACAGCATGTCTGGGAATGCTAACTACAGGCAACACCCTCAGAATTCTGCAGTTGTAACTAAATAAAGCAAACTACAGAAGTTAGTCCATAAACATGTCAACTCAACTGGACAGAAACATTTTCCAGATTTAATCCAGAATCCCATTGAACTGTGGCTTACACAGTGGCATTAACAAATCTGAAGAAAAAGGTAGGGGCAATGGAGATGCAGACTGAATCAGAGAAGCAGGATAGGTAGAAGGTGTCTAGTATTTTCCAGGGAAAGAGAACACAGAATTTGGAGAATGTGAACACCTAGGACCTTCAGGAGTCTCTTTTGTGGGGAATGTTAGCTGAGTAAACTAATCTCAAGATGCCTACTTCATTTTACCTAGATCTTATGCTCAACAAATAACCTTCTGAGGACTAATTCACTTTCCTATGTTCTAGAGAGGGAGAAAAATGCTCAAAACAGAATTCTCAAGCATTCTAGCCATGAGAATCCACCTACAGATTATTGTACTGACATGGTTCACATATCAATCTCCTAGGTGGGATCAACTCAGGGTGTCAGGGCCACCAGCGTGAAGCATGGTGGATCTTCACCAAGGAAATGTTACCTGTTAAGGCCTCTTCATGGTCATTCTGGGTGTCTTTGCTGGGATGCCCCACCTTACTTCACATCCTTTCCATTTCAAAACCAAAACTACCGCCTAAATATATCCTCAACAAAAAGTTTTCAAAGATTTAAAAACATACCGTGTAAAAGCATTAAGATGAATGTGTTGTCCGTACATAAACTGGATATACTTTTTCATCAGTTCTTGGAGAGAAAAGGCTATAGCTGTCAGGTCCTTCCTAAGAGGCACCTTCATCTATACTGCTTGGGTTCCACGGAACCAGAATAATGACACACAACTGCACAGTAAAATTTAAAAACATTTCTTTCTATTTTCATTCCATATTTTAATTATTCACTTTTGACTTCATGAACGTAAAATTGTAACTCTTCAAAGAAAAACAGTAATACTCACTAATTCTGACTGATTCTAAAACTCACTCCCTAAAAATTTAGTTGGTTTGGCTCACTGAATTAGAAGTCCTACAAAATCCTTTCAACATGGTGCTTCATATATAGAACTACATACACAAAATAAGTATCTGTGTGCTGGCTCGACCCCTAAAAAGTGCTAAGAAAATTCCTTTCCCAGTGAATGTGGACTACTTTTCAATGTCTTTTTCAACCTTATCGATACCTGGAGAGACTAACCAGACCGCATTTTTTTCTTCCCACTGTTTTTTGTCCAACAACAGGAAGTCTCAATCAGTAGCCACCTATGTCTTTCCCAGTTGGTGTCTACACTGCTACTGGGAGAGACCAAGGACTGTTTCTACTTATGTTCCTCAGCCAAGATTCTATTCTTAGTCTGATACCAAGAATACTCTATCCAGGAATGTCTTGTGAAGTAAGACTATATTGCTTAGGCTGGGATCAAAGTTTCTGAGGATGATCATCATCTCTGGAGTCAGCTCTGGTTCAAAGGTCTCAGTCACTCATATCATTATGCAGGGCTTAAAATGATCTCACCTCTGTGTGAATCTCAGCTTTGACCAAATGCTCCAAGGGAATGATCATCATCAGATATCTTGAAAATATCCCAGATCCTCATTACTTCCTCTGCCCAGACCCTACAAGCATGGAACTGATGCTGCCGACTAGTGATCCTGTTTTGCTCACATTCAAAATTCTGAGCAAACAGGACAGAAAGAAGAAACCACTTACTCTATAAATATGGGTCTCCAAGGTGACCCGGGTAATGGGAAATCCCTAGCTGCCCCAAACAAAGGTTTGAAATCAATACCAGTGGCCATATTGGGACCTATGCCTTAAAGTAACATTACAAATCTGAGTAGCAAATTGTCGTGTGACTTATCTGGTAGGATAAAATTATCAGGTTATTATTTTTATTAAACAGCTGCAACAATTAAAACTAACAGTTATAGCTAATTAATAGCTAACATTTAATGACTGCTCACCATGTGCTTGGCATTTTATGAGCATCATTTCATTCAATATCCCAGGAGCCTTACGAAGTACTATTATTTTTCATAGATGAGGAAACTGAGTAACTTTACTAATGTCATCCAAAATGGTTAAAGTATCAAACTGAGATTTAAGCCTAGGTCTATTCATATTACTCTAGTTCCTGAGTTTTGAACTCTTGGTTTAAAAAAAAAATTACATATATATTTATATATATATAATGTAAATATATATATATATATATATATCTGATATGTATACATTATCAGTCTTACATTTTGGATTTAATGACTGAATCTCAATTTTACAGTCCATGAATAAATATTCATACTGATATTTACCTGTGTATCACTTCTTCCAATATCACATCATTTATGGTAATTAAACTGGACAAGAACAAGTCTTATAATTATGTAACCAAGGAAAGTACTTACATAGTCAATGGGCTTGAGGGATTTAACTCTAGATGTTGGGCAGCCACAAGAAGTAAGGTCAGCATAGAGGCCTTCTTCTAATACACACTGATTATCAGAAACGTCCTCTTGATAATATAGGAGCCAGCTTAAAAACAAGCAATAAGACATTCAGTCAAATTACATCAGTTGATATCACAGGCTCATCACCATGCTGTGGGAACCAGGGAAGGAGAAGGACAAAGTCATGGTGCTGACCAGCAGCAAAGACACAGCTTCAGTTTAAAGAAACAGCTTACCACTATCATTTTCTGACTGCTTACCACGTGCTAGACATGTGCTAGGTACTTTACCTATATTATCACACTGTGTCTTCAATTTGATGAAGCAGAAACATATTCTTATTTTTATAGGCAACAAAACTAAGGATTAGAAAAGTTAGGTAATTTGTCCAAGGTCTCCTCAACTGTTAAATGACATCATTGAAATCTGAAACAAGACGTCAGCTTTACACTAAAGACATTAGCTTCATTTAGTACCTCCAAGTACAAAACACGGTGATCAGATTACGGTAATTATTAAGTACTTGAACAGATTAGAAAAATACTGCTTGTTTCTCTTTTAGGAAAAACAATAATTTGTATTCTTACTTAAATGATGAACTTGATGTCAGTCTAGGGGAGTAAAGAAACTAGACTCCTAACATCACACAACGGTATATAAAATCTATCACATGTACATCTGATAGCTAATGGAGATTTTTAAAAAGAAACCCATTTGAATCTTTGATAGTGAATTATCTTCAATATATCACTCATCAGAAGCTTGGTTAAGACGTATGTCTTTTGAAAAGAAGGAGCTAAAGGAAGAAATGAATTAGCTATTTCTACTCACTTCTGGTGTGTTTAAGTTTTAGCCTTATAGTTTAAGACCATAAGAACTGTACTCTTGCTAGGCCAGGTTAACTTAGGATAACCACAGATATGCTCTGTAACATTATAATTTACTGTCCTATCTTCTATGTAATTAGGCATTTTATCAAAGGTTTTCAATGTGTTAGGCATGGAGTTAGGCCCTTCATGTACATCATTTATTTGTCCCTCATAAGAATCCTTTGAGGTAGGTACTGTTATCCCTCCTTGAGGAGAAAAATGATTCAGACAGATGATCTAATTTGAAGGTTATATATTGAGAAAGTGGTGGAACTGGTCTTTAATCTCCAGGTCTCCCAAGTACTCCAGGTACTTAAGCAGAAACCGCCAGGGTTTCTGTAGTCTTTAAAAAACTGCAGTTTGATAAACTACACACACACACCCAGAGAGAGAGAGAGAGAGAGACAGGCAGACAGACAGACAGACAGAATATTCACTACATAAAGCAAATATGACTAATTTGTCCCAGATTTTAGTGTCAGGAAAAAACACTTTCCTCCAGAAAACCTTTAATACTTCCCTTTGTTAGAAAATTAAAATATATCTTACTAAATAATTTTTTTATCTTAGTGGAGAAGAAACTCAGAGCCAAGTACTAGTAACAAAATTATTTTAGGTGTCTGGTATATATTACTTTCTCACTAAAGAGGTGCAGATAATCTGTTTAACTTATAGCACCCTATTTTATGTGTTTTAATATTGTAAAACCCTCATATCCTTTTCTGTAAGTATAAAAATAATAATATACACAGAGAAATTCAAACTAGTGAGAGTTATAGAAAATGAGAGGGAAAGATTAGTGGAGTTAATCAAGAAGGTTAACAGAGGGAATCAGTGTGAAACTCAAAGATACACTCAGTTTAAAATCAAATAGGGACCACAAACATATATATCAATAGGAGGCCAAGCGGGTAATGTACAGAAGTAGCGTACCAGGTTAAAAAAAACAAAACCAGAAATATATCCTATGGTACACTGGGATCACATAGGCCATTTACTTTTTTTATTTTTAAAAAGAATTTTTTAATGTTTTATTTATTTCTGAGAGAGAGAGAGAGAGACAAAGAAAGAGACAGCATGAGCAGGGGAGGGTCAGAAAGAGAAGGAGATATAGACTCTGAAACAGACTCCAGGCTCTGAGCTAGCTGTCAGCACAGAGACTGATGTGGGGCTCGAACCCATGAACTGCAAGATCATGACCTGAGCTGAAGTGGGATGCTTAACCGACTGAGCCACCCAGGCGCCCTGTAGGCAATTTACTTAACAGTAATTATTGCCAAAGGTGAATGCTTCTTTTCAAATTCTTTGATTTTTTTAAAGAGGTTAAAAACATCATAAACCCAAATACTGATACATTTTGTTTAACACACTATGTAGGCCAAACAAATAACATTGCTGGCTGGCTAGCTTTACCTGAAACCTACAGTCTTTCACATAGAGCAGGGATTAGCCAACTACAGCTTGTGGGCCATCTGTCCCATTGCCAGCTTTTATACAGATCACAAGCTAAGACTGCTTTTCACATGCTGCAGTGTTTTGTTTGGTTTTTTAAATTTTTTAAATGTTTATTTTTGAGAGTGCACGTGAGCATGCATGTATGTGTGTACACACGCACACACACACACACACACACACACACATACACACACACACAGAAGGGGCAGAGAGAGAGAGGGAGACACAGAATCCAAAGCAGGTTCCAGGCTCTGAGCTGTCAGCACAGAGCATGATGCAGGGCTTGAACCCACAAACTGTGAGATCATGACCTGAGCTGAAGTTGGATGCTTAACCAACTGAGCTACCAATGCTTCACTGGTTTTAAAAAATTACAACAATAGCTTGTGATATGTAAATATGCTATACAGTTAAAATTTCATTGAATTAAGAAGCATTTTATTGAAACACAGTCATGCCATTTATCTTCTGTGGCTGCTTTAGTGCTTATAATGGCAGTGCTAAGTAGCTGGGACACAGCCTGTAGGGCTCACAAAGCCAAAAATACTTACTACCTGGCCCATATAGAAAAGGTTTGCTAACTCACCCCTGGTATAGGTAAGGCAAAAAATACTCAGCTGAGTAAATGTTGGAAGAAGGAAAGATGGAGACAGTGTAGGGATAGAATGTGAATGGATGGGAAAAATGAGACTGATGGTAAATCCTGGAAAAGGAGGCATTTGAACTTAGTCTGACTCGTATTAGAGGGATGACGGTGGGATTTAAGGCAAAGTAGTAAAAGTATGAAACTGGACTTGGGGACATATAATTGGGCTATAACTAGTTTGTGGTAAACAATGGAAGTAAGATAATACTGGAGTAGCACTACTTAGGAGACAGAATTTCTTCAAGCGGTAGAACTGATTCAAGAGAAAAAGTAAAACTGATAAAAATCCAAGATATCTTAAAGAATGAACAGAGAGATTCTGAAGAGTTACTAGGTAAATACTTGAAAGAGACCTACCATTGAATTGCACACTTTAAAATGGCTAAAATGGACCTTGAGAGCTTGTTTGGAGGTTCTAGCAGGGGAGCGCAGTTACTCGTATACCGTTGACTGAAGAACGGTCCTCCTCTATTGGGAAAGGTCGTCCTCTTCGACCAAGTGTGCAGCTTGGAGGAGGAGGGGGGAGATGGGCATGGAGGAGGGCACTTGTGGGGATGAGCACTGGGTGTTATATGGAAACCAACTTGACAATAAACTATTTGTAAAAAATAATAAATAAAATCATTTAAAAAATTAAAAAAAAATAAAATGGCTAAAATGGTAATGTGTATTCTATGTATATTTTACAATTAAAAAAAATGGAGGAAATATGTTTTACCCTTGAGAATCACATATGGTTCATTTATATCTGAGGAAGACCTAGTATATTGCTGTAGCTCAATTAACACAAGATTTATTTTTTATTTATTTTTATTACTTTTATGTTTATTTATTTGAATGAATGGGGGAGGGGCAGAAAGAGAGAATCCCAAGCAGGCTCTACTAGGTCAGTGCAGACCCAGATGTGGGGCTCAAACTCATAAACTGTGAGAATAGGACATGAGCCAAAATCAAGAGTCAGAAGCTTAACTGACTGAACTATCCTGAAGCCCCTAGATTTAATTTATTAAAATTGATTTAATTCAAAAAATTAAAAAGAATTGCCTCTCTCTCTCTGCCCCTCCCTGCTCACTTGCTCTCTCTCTCTCTCTCTCTCTCTCTCTCAAAATAAATTTAAAAAGGGAGGGAGGCACCTGGGTAGCTCAGGTGGTTAAGTGTCCAACTCTTGACTTTGGCTCAGGTCATAATCTCCTAGTTCATGAGTTCCAGCCCCACATTGGGCTCTGTGCTGATAGTGCAGAGCCTGCTTGGGATTCTCTCTCTTCCTCTCTTTCTGCTCCTCTCCTGCTCACTTGTGTGTGCATGCTCGCTTTCCCTCTCTCAAAAAAGAAAAGACTAAAGCAATCCTAGGTCTGACATTCGGTGTGGAATCTTGGGAACACTAACTCTGAAATCAGGAGTACTCATCTGTGAAACAAGGTTGATTTTATAAATAATTTCAACAAAATATACATATTTTTAAATTTAGGAGTAGTACATCTAATTTGGACAAAAACAAGTTTCTTAAAGAGCATTCTATTATACTATCCAATAAACATAGAAGCATTCAAAATGTTTAGGAAATAATCTAAGGTAGCAGTGAGAAAGTAAAATGACCACAATGCTCCCAGAGTTGGCTCATTAGCATTTCATTTCTCTATATCATACAATGGTTCATATTATGAACCACTGTATTAGCAAAATTAGTATTAGCAAAATAATAATACATTTAGTATTAGCAAAATTACTATAGGCTAATTAGCTGCCCAATGACTAAAAGAACTTTTTAAATTCACTGTGAATGCAAAATAAATAAACAAGTCAAATCCCTGTGAATTTAAAGGAAATATAGTTACTGAAGAACAGTAGAAAGCACTCAACAGTGTACTTACCAGCCCCGAAGAACTTTAAAAGAACACGGCCTGAATGAAGTCAAATCAGAAATTTCTTCTGTAAAATCTACACATTCACCCTGGAACCCTGGTTTACTGAATGCTTTGAGCTACAAGAACAATAACACAACAATTTGACAGGAAACAACTGTTTGACATTATCACAAAAGCAAATGAAAACCTTTTATTTCCTGTTTTTGTTTTAAAAATTAAGCAAAATATTAGAAAGAACTTCACCTATTACCAATGAATCCAGGTTAAGGATGATATGCTCTTTAAACTTCCACTGTTTGTTTCCTTACCCATTTCGAGCAATGTCACCATTTATTGACCATTTTCATCCAGCTTTTGCATCAGATTCTGGGCACAGGGTCGCAGAAAACAATTCTGCCGATAAGATTAAATCAGAATCCTTCCTCCACTAAAATGTGGTCCCTGTCTATTGTGTCAAACAATTATTATCCCACGTGGTGAGATGACATGCCTAAAATAAGCAGCAATGTACTGTTATATGTGAAGGCAGTTTCAGTTAGTATGAGGGGTGGTTGGTGTTGTCTTTTCTCTTCCCAAGTCTTGCTGATCCAGTTAATAAAAGGTTGTAGCATGAAGGCGTGCCCCTAAGCGGGCCTGAGAACACAGGAGCAGAGGGCAGAGAAAATAATGCCGACAAGATTAGTGGAAGATTTACGGTGAACAAAGACATCCATGTCCTGGATTTCAGCTAACGGACTTCTGCTTACTGTTACGAATATCTTAAATGTATAGCTTACTATTATATATAACCACATTTCTACTTCAGTTCTTTTTGTCAAGAAAAATCCATGAAATCTCAAAGTTATTTGCTGCATACCAGAAATCTGCAACTCTAGTGGCCTTGAATCTATATAATAGGAAAGAAAAAGTTAATGAGGCCTGTAAATATTTCAAAGTACATGGGAGCCTTTAAATAACATAGCCCACAGGTTCACCCTGCACTGACAGGCCTGCATTGTAGTTAAAAATGCATCATAATGAGCACTGGGCAGCACTGTCCTTTTTCCTGCTCATGCTGTATCAAGAATAAGGCTTCTTTGAGCAGTTGATGTTTGCCTCCTTCATCTTCCCAAGAGTCCTCTCAGAGGCTGATGGCCTCTGAGTTCTGCACAACTGCGTCTTGACTGTCGTCTTCTGCTCTGACATCAAAGACTAGTGAAAACCAGGGAAGTGGGGGAACGGACTCCCCTGGACCATCTGTGGCTTGCACAACTTCCTATTGTGAAACCAGTCTGCATTTGGAGCATTAAAGCACCAGGGACTCCCTGCCTTAAGGAAGTTTCTATCATGATCCTTCTGAAGTCCAGAAAGAGACAGACCTCTGCAAATATTCCTCATGTAAGCACAATTCTACGTGTCCAGGGAAACTGCTCGTAATTTCCTTGATAAGAACACACATTTCGGTTAGTCGTTTTATAGACTACATGCTTTAACTTTAAGGCTTATAGAACATTAGGTTGAGAAGTATGCCACAATTTAACTTTCAAAAATGTGTAGTAATTTTTTCTGTATGCGAATATTATCTTAATTCATGATAAGAGTTGGAAAAACCACATGCAAACAGAGGTCACGGCTGTCTTGTTCACTCTGCAAATACCCAGTTTTTACACTGCTGAGCTTAAGATTTATACTTCAGTATATCACCATGAAACCATGAAATCCCACACAATTGACAGTGCAAACTAAATATATTTCAGATGGGATATGTTGGTGCCAACTCTAGTGTTTAATCTGTCTTCATACCCAGAAACATTAACTAAAATACACATAGACACACACACACACATTTGCCATAAAAGTACCTTTTTGATTCGATGGGTTAGAATATTCTTTGCCCAAGCTAAAAAAAATCAGGCTTAATGCCAATCTGAGCTGCCAAAATGAGATACCATATTGGTTCACCCAAAATTTGACCAACCCCAGAAAAGTAATTCCTCACTCTGGTGACCTGATGAATGCCTCAACAGAACATTCTCATAATAATGTTCTGAGATTGGTCCATAAAGAAACCAATTCTGTGATTATTAATTAGAATTAAATTGTGGTTTCTACTCTTAGTAAAATTAAGTAACTAACAGTATCTTGGTAAAATAAGTCCTAGGAAAAGGTAGGTGGATAAATCACAACTTTGTTTTCCTTTCCAGATAAATGGAGAATATACAAAATAATTCAGATAGGTTGCTTAGAATCAAGGCAAACAGATAAGAAAGAGATGAGTTTATTTCAAACTAAACCTGTCCCTCTGTACCATTTAGGTATGGCTCAATCCCTATCAGCTTCCCAAAGGGAACTGTATAGATGCAAAAAAATAAAAAAATAAAAAATAAAAAAAATAAAAAAAAGACTGCATACCACTGTTTTGCAGTGCAGACTGCCTTTTCACATATATTATCTTCTTTAGAATGAGTCGACTCTATCAGAAACCATCATTAACTTATGATGAACTTTTTGCAGAAATGTTTTATTATGTACTTTTCATTTATGATATACATGAATAAATGTAATAGGTCTTTAATATGACAAACGAAGAACTTTAAATTTTAATTACTGACCAAACACCATAAGTTGTGCTCAATGTCACAATATCAGAATAATTTTTTCAGTGTAACTTTATTTATTCCAATGCTAAAACAATTTTTATGAGGAACTTTCTATCCTACTTAAACAAGACTTCCTGTAGCTTTCTGGATCTCCCTCACACAAACATGTTCATTATTAAACAAAGAACAGCCTTGTTTCTATTTGTTTCAATTCTGTTATTGCATCACACTGTCTCAAGTTGTCTTGTTTTGTACTCCTCACATCAATACTTACTACACAATAATTTTATTTCCTTGATTACTTGTAAAGGGCTTTCTTTACTTAGCTCTTACTGAGTATTTCTGGTCTCTGGATTCTATAAAAATGATCTGGTTGTAGCACCATGAAAAAGTATTTTCCTCTAGTACTCTTGAATCTTACTAGCCTAAAACTGTCACTTTCCTATCCCCCATACAGGACAATAACCCCAACTGTTAAAGATGCTGTAATCACTCTAAAATTCAATGTGGACAAACTATCCAATACAAGAAAATATCCAGTTGCTTTTTCTCAGCTAGAATCATAAAGTGGAACAGAGGCTCAATATTTAAAGAAATTAAAATTTCTACTAACAGTATTTGCAAATGCCCTTGAAAAAGATTCTAGGAAGAAAAAAAGGTCCTCAGTTGTATCAAAGGGCAGAAGTGGTTAGAATTCCTAGAGAACAGTGCCTGACTACACCTCTTTGAAAGCTAAAGTCACTTTTATAAGATTTAATCTATTGAGATGTCTGATGTTCTGCTAAGACAAAAAGATGATGAAATTATGAATATAATCCATATATATTGTTTATGTTTTGTTTTCTTTGGGGAAAAATAAAAATATAATTAAATGTCAACTGCTATTATGAAGAACTATATAATGATGCTGTATATTTTAAGTTGCAATTAGACTTGATCTAATCTTCAGCCATAGGTAAAACAATGATCTTCTGCATTAAAGGAGGTATTCTGGGTAGAAAATAAGACAAATCTCATCATAATATGGTGACATATCAGAATTAATATATTTATTTGCAGAACATTCATGATGTGTACTTATCTCTATACACATACATATTCTGGCTTTTCTCTTAGGTTGATGAGGTTCCCTTTATTTATTTATTTAATTTTTGAATGTTTTATTTATTTTTGAGAGAGAGATAGAGACAGCATGAGCAGGGGAGGGTCAGAGAGAGAGGGAGACACAGAATGTGAACTAGGCTCCAGGCTCTGAGCTAGTTGTCAGCACAGAGCCTGATGCAGGGCTCGAACCCACGAACCGTGAGATCATGACCTAAGCCGAAGTCGGATGCTCAACCAACTGAGCTACCCAGGCACCCAGATGAGGTTCTCTGTAAAATCACCAGCATTTAAAAAATAAAAAAAAAAAAAATTATTTCTTGGACTTCAACTCTGAAATGTCCTTTCCTCCTTATTTCTCAGTGAAAATAACATCTGAAATAGTCAATATGACTATCACAGCTATTTGTGAAGAAGAAAATACTTTCTAGTTACTGAATGGAACCAGAGTGTCAGCCAAGATCCTTTTCCCTTAAGTAAAAACAAGCGAAACATTCTGAAAATGTGGTCCAACAGAAATAATACGAGCTTTGAAGCTGGGTAAACTAAGGAGGCTTTGTCTTCATGTTACTAAATACTCAGCTATCATATACCTGTCAGAAACATTTATTTCACAAGGCTATGGCTGAGCCATATCCAGAAATATGAAGTGGGGCTGACTGCACTGGGTGTTTTCTGCTGCTTCCTTTCTCTTCAAGTTGGACTGGAAATACTATAAAGAAAATACTCTGAGCAATCTGCCCCAAACAAGGAAGTCCATAAAAAAAGAACAGGAATGTAGGAGGGAAAAAACAGCACTTAAAAGAATGTGACTTTTATCTGCACTTAAAAACTTAGAAAATGTGCAGTTTGTAATTATCCCTGTTTAACTCTTTAACTACTCATGTTGATTCCTGAACAAGTGCTTTAAAAGTCCGCTGCTGGAGTTTTCAAAGATTCAAAACACAGATCCGGCAGGAAGTGTCTCTGAATCAACAACTCAATTATATTCAAAAAGGAAATATTCCCACTAGGACTTGAACTAATCAGAAAATAAGAAAACCTGAAAACACTTAACAGAAACACGATTACAACTAAGCTGACTTGAACTACATTAAACACTTGCAAGAACACGAAAAACATACACATTCAGAGAAAAAGATTCAGCTTCATCTAAAGCCAGCAAATGTCCAATATTTAAGCTTAATCACTCAATTAGCTTATTTTTCCAAATCTGTTATTTAAAATGAGACAGAGGAAGCAATGTCTCTTATCCCTTCTCCTTCTATGAATGTACTGATTATACCACATGTCTTTCTCTAATGTAAAATCCTGAAAATGTGGTTTGAGGGGAGTCAGATATTAAAAAATGCCTATTTTGTTATTTCTAGCTGTGTGAAATGACACTTAAATTCTAAATCTTGGTTTTCTCATTAATAAATGCAATTAACTTTGACCTTCCAGAGTTATCAGAAGCACAAATTAAGCATAATTTGTAGCCCTCAATGGATCATAAACAAATGTTAGGCTCCAGAGTATTGTCCAATCCTTGAAACCATTAACACACTAGAAAGAAACATGCAGGGCTGCAAATTTGCTAGTGCTTTTAGGAAATATGTGAGTTAGGTATTAGAAATACATTCACATAACAGGCATGCCAAGACAGCCATTTTTCCACGTTAAGTTTGCTCCTCCAAACACAGCCTAACATACTGTGCTGAATAAGAATGTGACATTGAATGGGGGGGCGCCTGGGTGGTTCAGTAGGTTACCCATCAGACACTGGATTTCGGCTCAGGGTCACGATCTCACAGTTCGTGAGATCCAGCCCTGTGTCAGGCTCTGTGCTGACAGTGCCAGGGCCTATGGGACTCTCTCTCCCTCAATATCTGCCCCTCCCTCATTCGACCTTGTGTACATGCACACTCTCTCAAAATAAAGTTAAAAAAAAAAAAAGAAGAAGAATGTGACATTGAAGAATGAATGGGCAACAGGAAAAGAGTGGCAGAGGTTCAAAATGACCCCAAAGAGGTCAGAGTTAAAGCTCTCTGAGGAGAAACCAAAAGGAAATGTGGTAATTCCAGGCCAATACAACCAGTAAGGAAGATGGGTACTCTTCTGCTCATGGGTACCAAGTACAATATAAACTGTCCTGCCATATAGATGTAAGCAATTTATCCGAAGGAAAGAAAGAATTGAGACATTGAGACAAAGGGCACAGATGCTTTTAGTAAATAAAAAAATTTTGAAACATACCAAATGGGGAGGCTCATTTATTCCAAGTGGTTCCTGAAACATATATTAAAACATTTTAACAATTGTAATCATATAATCTTACTTATCTTATTGAAAGTTTGAAATAGCATTTGAAAAATTTTTTTAAAAAGTCTAATTTACCAGGTTTCTTGAACTAGTTATGACCCTCAAATACCTTACTGAATTATCTTGATTTTATTATTTATTACTCATTCATTTTGAGTAACGTAGCTGGGAAAAAATACGTGCCTCGATGTCCATCAGAAAGATGGAGTCTGAGCTTCCGGCCATTACACTTCTCACCACTATTTCATGGGCACCCTTCTTGTTCTGTGTTGTTATTATCTACACTGGCCACACTCTTTCCTAACTTCATATTTTGCATATGAGGAGATTATTCCCTCTTTGAGGACTGTTTTTTCTGCCCTACGTCATTGTCTGGCTAAACTGCTTATATCCCTAAAGATATCACTCAACACATCCTCTTCTTGAGAAGAGGCCTGGTGCGCAACTCCCAGGCTCTGAGTGCTCTTCACAGACTCCCCCGCACTGCCTACACACTTCAGCTCCTCACTCATCATACTACCGTCAGTCACCTACACATCAATCTCCTCAAAGAGATGGAGACCCATCAGGGCAATCCTATTCATCTTTTATCTCCCGTGATCAGTAGTGCCTGCCATATGAGGCACTAAATAAATACTGATAAATGAGTGAAGTGATCAAATTACAGCCATCTCACTGATGTGCTGATACCACCTACTACTAGCTCTCTATAGAATCTAAAGCAATTCATACGCTATTTCATTTTCTCTATGTATTCACATAATCCAGCAGTTTCACTTTTACAAAGCCTGTACTGCACATTAAACTGCATGCTATTACATGCTCTAGTATTGGTTATGATCATAGCTAACTCACCAGTTGAATAGGTCGTATGGACATGATTATATTATTTGATGCTCCCCAGTCAAAAAAGCATTTGTATTTCCCTTTCTCTAAAATGTACTGTTCTCCACAAAAGAACTTCTGCTGGTAGGCAACCCATCTAGTAGGGAAAAAAAAGAAAAAGAACAGAGGTGATACAGAATCGAACAAACAACAATTTTAAAACCAAACCTCTCAAAGTTCTCAGAATGGGAGAAAACTTACACGCCGCTTTTAACATGAATGGATCTGGTTTCGCTGCCAAAGCCGATTTCTTCTAAGTCAGAAATTTCCTGATTTGTAATGTCAATAAACTTCCCACTTTCTAGGTCAGATTCAAATAGTGTGATAGAAGATTCTATAAAATTCTATAAAGAGGAAGAGGAAAGTTAAAGAGAGCATAAGGATTTTGTTCTACAGATTGTTGTATCTTAGCACAATTTTTCACATGCTTGGGATCTCACACAAATAACTCCAGAAGAATTTTAAATGCAGCTGGAAATGATTTTGATAGTTATTACTTTTAAAGTTTAAAGAAAAAAGTAACTCTCAATTTACTTTAATCAAGAAAAGACCATTTTTATATAAGTGGAAACTAATCAAGAGTTGGCAAATTGCTGGGACTTTAGGCTATTATATGTTGCCTACCTATAAAGGAAGCTAAAGTTTCACTTGTGCCTAAAGAGTGAAAGCCACAGCATGGATCCAAGAGTAAATACACAATGTACAGTGGATATTTTGTTGGAGAGAATTTTATAAGCTTAAATGTAAAAGAAAAAATAAAATTTCCTTGACAAAAGATTAAAAAAAATTAAAATGAGGACATTTTAAAAGTTTTTATAGATAATATATTTATAATAAGAATATCATAAAAATTTTAAGATCCAAGTTGATAAATCTGCAAAAGACAGAGGCAATTCACAAAAAATATTAGCATTAAAAACAAATAAGCAAAAGTCCAGTTTCAATAGTAAAAACTAAGAAATTCAAATTAAAACCACTAGATACAATTTTCACTTTTTAAAATAAGGAGGTTCTAAAAATCCAGTTTCGGGGCGCCTGGGTGGCTTAGTCGGTTAAGCGTCCGACTTTCGCTTAGGTCATGATCTTGCGGTTCGTGGGTTCGAGCCCCGCGTCGGGCTGTGTGCTGACTGCCAGCTCAGAGCCTGGAGCCTGTTTCAGTCTGTGACTCCCTCTCTCTCTGACCCTCCCCTGCTCATGCTCTCTCTCTCTCTCTCTCTCTCTCTTAGAAATAAATAAAACATTAAAAAAAATTTAAAAAAAAAATCCAGTTTCATCTGGAAACATTACTAGCAGAAATAGAAGTTGGATAGGGGCACCTGGGTGGCTCAATTAGTTATGTGTCTTGGGCTCAGGCCATGATCTTGTGGTTCTTCAGTTGAAGCCCCGCACAGGGTTCTTTGCTGACAACTCAAAGCCTGGAGTCTGCTTTGGATTCTGTGTCTCCCTCTCTCTCTGCCCCTCCCCTGCTTGTGCTCTCTGTTTCTCAAAAAATGAATAAACGTATATACATATATATCCTATATGTATCCTATACATATATATATGTATATATAGGATATATATGTATATAGGATAGCGATTTTAGAAAATAATTTAGAAATACATTTTAAAAGACAGATATTGTTTAACTCTCTGATGTTGTTGGTAAAATCCTTTTTTTTAATCTAGAAAAAGTTTCCCGAAACTAAATGATGGGTAATTTATATGCAAAGATGATTTTTATTTTACAATACCAAAAAGCTATAAATGGTGCAAATGCCTAAACGATGTATAAAAATAAACCTTTATGCATCTACCTACCACCTGATGGAATATACTTACTACTGGCCAGGAGCCTTATGTGTCTTATTTCCAAAAGAGCGATCACATAAGATTATATTACCATCATTCTCATTTTCCAGCTAAGGAAGGTGAGTAAGTTGCCTGAGGTAACACAGCTACTGAGGGACAGAGACTGAATTTAAGTCCAAATCTGTCTATGTATCTACCTACCTTAATCACTGTCAGATAGGAGGAAAGAAAAGGACAAAACCTCAAACTTCTAAAACTGGTAAGATGATAAGCATGCAAAAAAAAGCCCAACTTTTCATAAGAGAAGGCTAGCAGGAAAAAAACTGAAGAGTGGTTGGGTCCAGGGAGGTTGGACAATTTTAACCTACATTTTTTTCAAATCTTTATAACAGATATACTTTTTAATTGGAAAATACAGAATACATTTATTTTTTAATTTTTACTAGTTTTGAGAGAGAGAGAGACAGAGTGTCAGTGGGGGAGGTGTAGAGAGAGAGGGAGACAAAGAATCTGAAGCAGGCACCAGGCTCTGAGCTGTCAGCACAGAGTGTGACGCAGGGCTCGATCTCATGAACCGTGAGATCATGGCCTGAGCGGAAGTTGGACATTTAGCCGACCGAGCCAGCCAGGAGCCCCAGAATACACTGCTTTTAAAAGAACCAAAATCTCTTTCTCTATTACTACTATTTTGTTGTTTGTAGATTAGTCTTAGACCTATGGAAAATGTTAGCAACTTCTCTAAGTCTCAACAATACCAATTTTCTCCTGCTTTTAATACATTATAAATTTAAGAACAGATTTCTAGGATAAGCATTCACTTTATATGAACAAGCAAAACAGTGTCAAAAACAACCAAAGCATCTATAAGAAAATACATTCAAAAAATTCTCATTTACTACTTGTCAACTTCCAACGATTTAAAAACTGTTCCTATAAATGGATCAAATTTCATTTGAGAATTTAGGATAAAAGAGAAAGGCTTTTTGCCTGAAATGTTTATTAAAAAATAATTCATACCATAATTGTGTTTTTAATTCCTCCTTGACAGTAAACCTTTGGAACCTGAGAATATGTGTTACCTCATTACCTTCACAAGTTTCTTTAAAAAAAAAGTGAGAGTTGGGTGAATTTATTTTACATCACTATCATCATCCCTTCCTTTTTTTTTTTTTTTTAATGGTTATTTATTTTTGAGAGATAGAGAGACAGAGCATGAGTAAGGGGTGGAGGGCAGAGAGAGAGGGAGACACAGAAACTGAAGCAGGCTCCAGACTCTGAGCTGTTAGCTCAGAGACCAATGCAGGGCTCGAACCCACAAACTGTGAGTTCATGACCTGAGCCAAAGTCCGTATGGGTCAGTATGTTATGTTGGAGTAAAATAGGACAAAGACATAAAAACATAAATACAGATACATGCACATGTGCTGTGTCTGTGCCCTTTCATTAAGAAGTAACTTGCATTATTTTGTGATGTACTTTACTTGTGCAATTATTTGCACAAATCCTACTGTGTGGGCTGTGCAAGAGTGAGCTGGAAAGCAGGCAATAATGCAGCGTGGAGCTGAGCAGAGGAGGGACCCACTGTCACAGGACCCAGTGCCAAGTACAAGAGCTGGCTGCTGCCATATGCTTGAGGATTCACAAACAGAATTCCTCACATGGCTTGAGTTTGTGTCCTTCCTACTCTGTCTGCTATTCTCAGAGACCTGGCCATGGGCCACAGGAGACTCTTAAGCAGCATCGCTCTCCTCTTTCCCATCTTCTGCTTTTGTTTATTCAAGGCTTTTCTTGCCTTACAGCTTTTGCCTTCTTTTGCCTTCTTGCCTTACAGCTTTTGCCTCCTTTTTCTCAGTACCTTTCTGAGCCACTTTCCTTTTTTCACTCTGTATTTTTCACTCAAATCTACTAATTATAGTATCTGATCTAGTTAACTAGTTAGCATCAATATGCTGTCCCTGCTGGACAGAGCTCTACCTCTAAGCCAAATCCAATCACCTGGGGCTAAATATCCTGCAGATACATGTGCAAAGTGTGATATAAAACACACAAAAAACTATAAAAACCCAAGCCCACAACTTCTAACTGTCTTGTTCAGGTGATTGCAATAGGCACTTAAGGGTGTTATGCTGAGCGAAATAAGTCAGGCAGAGAAGGACAAATATCATATGTTTGCACGTATAGGAGGATTACGAGGAACTTAACAGAGGACCAAGGGGGAGAAGAAGGGGGGAAATGGAGGGAGACAAACCATGAGAGACTTGAATGCTGAGAACAAACTGAGGACTGATGGGTGTGGGGGGGAGGGGGGAGATGGGCATGGAGGAGGGCACTTGTGGGGAGAAGCACTGGGTGTTATATGAAAACCAACTTGACAATAAACTGTAAAAAAAAAAAAAAAAAAAGTCATGTCCAGAGTAAGTTCTATGAGATTTCTATGTTATTAGCATCCCTGCTTTGCCAGGGATGCAATTATGTAATTTTAAAAGTCACACAGATTAAAGTGGAGCTCTGTTGCTTGGGAAGAACGAATAATGACGGAATGATCTAAAATATGTACTCCATTTTATATTTTTAAAGGACTTATATCCAAGGGAAAATCTGGATAGCTTATTATAGTCTCTGGTCCAGAACTCCCCATTGTCAAAAAATGAGCAGATGCTTTAGGACCAGAGATAAATCTTTAAGGATTAGTAAATTGGGTGTTTTTAAATTCCATACAATCCCACAGCTGATCTTCCCTGGAGCTCTTATGCTATAACCCACTGGTGGACAAAGTAACATGAGACACCAGCGGAGAATTGGTATATCCATTAATTTAGGAGAAATAATGCTCTCCCCATTACATACCACCTGGTTTCAGAGATCTGAAAAGAGGCCCCAGGTCTGAAAATCCTAACAGAGGCAAATCCAAAAGTTAAGCTTGTATAAAACTGAGGGGAAAATATCGAGGAAGCCAAGGAATAAAAATTCCTTGTTTAAACTCTAGAGTCTAAATACTCCTATGTCATTCTGGATCTTTCCTTTAAAAAAAAAAAAAAAGAAAGAAAGAAAGAAATTAACTCAAGTCAGTATATCCGCCTGCCTCATTTGGAATTAGAAACATATTTCCTGTTGTCTTCTCCAAGAACTCCAAGACACAGATCACATTATCCCTAAGGAACATGTCCAGAATTTGACCTTAGTAGATTCACAGTGTTGTGCATTCTGAAGTCAGGACAGTAGAAAACCGTAGTGCATTCTGCAACTTTGCTATTTATCCTCTTATTTATTTTATCTTATATTACTTTAACTTAGATCTTACATGTAGCACATCATTCTTTCCCAGGTTAGGGACCTGAAAGATGTCTCATGTCAACTCTACCTGCTAACCTATGTAGGCTGTGAAAACCATGAGAGCTTTAAATCCTATGTCTAACAATACTTTATCTTAAATTTAAAATTTTTCAGAGAGGATTATGTCTTATCACAAAAAAAGATAATAAAGGGGTCAGGAAGAAATTTTGGGAGAAGATGGGTATGTCTGGTCTTGATGGTGGTGATGGTTTCCCTAGTGGACACATACCTGCAAACTCATGCAGTTACATATGTTAAATATGTACAGCTTTTTTTTTTTTTTAAAGCATTTATTTATTTTTGAGAGACCGAGTGTAACAGAGTGCAAGTGGGGGAGGAGCAGAGAAAAAAGGAAACAGAATCTGGAGCAGGCTTCAGGCTCTGAGCTGTCAGCACAGAACCTGATGCGGGGCTCCAACACATGAGCCATGAAATCATGACCTGAGCCGAAGTCAGAAGCTTAAATGACTGAGCCATCCAGGTGTCCCTGTAAAACTCTTTACATGTCAATAGTACATCAATAAACTGGTTAAAAAAAAAAAAAAAAAACCAACCCAAAACTCTTCTCCACTATCTGCTATGTCTGAAGAACGCAAAATATTTCATCTGCAAATATTTTAGTGAACATAAATTTAAATTATAAATGAACTGCCTCAAAGTCATGTAAATATTGATTATACATGTGTACTGGTCTGCAATATTACCATATATTTATAGCTACAAATGAAATGCTAATAAGCCTTTGGTTGAATGAGATCCAGTTTTCCAATGTTAAGATACTTTTTTAGTCTAATCATTCTGCAACAACAACAAAAAAAGGAAAATATGACATGAGCCCTAGAGTAACACAGACTTTCCCTCAAATCACAATTCTACACTTGGGTATGGCTCCTACCTGAGACCCTTAGTTTCTGTACCTGTAAGATGAAAATGATAACAGTCTCCATCTTGTGGTCTGTGTGAAGATTCAGTACAAATATGCTACATGTAAGGCTATTAATAAGCACTTGACAAATGTCAAGATTATAATAATATCTTTATAGGCTAACAAGTAGTCTTTTAATTGTTAAAAAAAAATCTTACTGTAGGAGACAAAGACTTTATGTCAAGGGCATTTTTATTTATATAAAAGCTATCATTATTTTCATAAATGCCCCAAACTTTTGTATGCAGCAGTAATCAACAAGCCAATTCCTACCAATTTTTTCCAATGGTATATTATCATACTGTCCATATCAAATACTTAATAATTATGTGGCTATATATGGTATTTATATCTTTTCATATTTTCTATTATTGGGAGATTTCACTGAGTGATTTGGGGTTTTATTTTGTTTGTTTTAGTCACAGTCATCTTGAGAAGATGCTGTCACATTCATTGTTGAACATTTCTAGGATCAGCAATGCTTCCATTCAGCTATCTTTTTAAATAAGGAGGGAAAATACTAAGAATTATTCAACACTAGGGTAGAAAATGCTTTGAACCATGACCCACAGTTCCCTGAATGCATGTGGTCGTGAAGAACTAAAGTAAAAAGATGAAGGCTCTATCTTGTTTTGTCTTCCTTGCCTTTTTAGTGGTCAAGAAAGGAATGGCTAAGTAGAGAAAGTGCATGGCTCTTGTATAATAGAATTGTGGACTACGTACCTCACAGTTATCTATCCACTGCTCAAGGAAACTCAGTCGCCAATTATCTTCAATGGATTGTCCTAGAGGTCTTTTTGGTAGAACTGGTTTCCAACTCACAGTCTTAATACCAAGGATCATTCACAGGGCTGGGGGTACGTGGGGGGAGCTCCCTTGTTCCCTGTACAACTTCCCTCATTCTTGCCTCTCCTGCCTGACCAGGTAAATAGCCCAAAGAGACAAAAAGCTAAAAGGCCAGAACATGCCAACCTTCTGCTCAAAGTCCATGTGGACACCCTTCACTTCATATCAATTCCTTCAAAGAGGCTTTAGAGGTCATGCTAGACAGTTAGTATTTATATGGCTAAAGATTACTTTGAGAAGAGACTGCAGTGATAACTCGTGAACTGCAAGAAAGCATGCCCCTCTGAACATATTAAAAAATCTCCAGAGCTGGTCAGAAAAATGAACAACATTTGAAAAGCCCTGATCCCTACAGAACTCTCTAACATATATCTCCACTTCTCTGTGACCTCAACTTCTACCTGGAGTTATGTAGTGTCCAGACTTACCCCCTCCATCCCAAGCCATTTCTGGATAAAGTCACCACAAAGATCTTTCTACATTTAAAATCTGATCTTATTCATTGGGCATAAAACCCATTAGAGGTTCAAGGTCAAATCAAGAAAAAAATATCTGAACTCAACATGTGGATAAGACCCTTCATTATCTGGCTTTTGCCCTCATTTCTTCCAAAGTTCTGCCTAATATCCTGACTTAACTGCATTTCTCAAAAACACCAGTTTCACTTACAAGAGGGTTTCTCAACCTCTGCACTATTAACATATTAGACCAGAAGACTCTCTGATGTGAGAGGGCTGTCCTGTGGCTTATGGGGGTTTGGTAGTATTCCTGGCCTCCACGGAGTAGATACCATATCACCCCCTATCTGGGCCCCCACAAGTCACGACAACCCAAAAGGTCTCCTGACACTGCCAAATGCCCCCTCAGAGGTAAAATCACCTCCAGCTGAGAACCAGTGGCTCATGTCCTTAACTTTTACTGTTAATCTCTTGCTAAAATAGCATTTCTCTTTCTGTATTCACTCTGTCCTGGAACCTCTCCACTTGGCTAACTCTTGAATCAAAAATTTTGCTCAACTGTTATCTTTTTCCTCTCTACTTCCAAGTGGGAGTAACTGACCTTTCTCTGGGCACCCTGAGTACTCTGTGCTTAGTCTAATCATAGTCAAACATAATCAAACGCTTATATAAATGCTATTTTCTCTATTAGACTATCTGCTCTGTGAAATCAAGGACCGAGTCTCCGGCCACTGTATTTCTAGCATCTGATACAATACAGGTCACAAAGCAGGTGCTCAAAAAATACATATGGAATTGATGCACGAAACGTAAATGTAAGTATTCTATAATAATCACAGCTGTTAAGAAAAGCAGGAAAGCTACATAAGTGGTTCAGTGTAATGTTCTCAGGTATTAGAAACATTTTATAACCTCATGTTTTATCACAGCTCATGACTGATTTTCATGGATAGAAAACAGAAAATTATGAATAACAAAGCTAACTCACAGCTTGTAAGAAGCGGAAAGACAAGATGGGGCCACTTAATGCTCCACAGGCAGTGCTGTCTTCAAGATCTCCCTCTTCAAGCAAGAATTGCTGGCCTTTAAAATGTTCTTTTTCATAGGCAACCCATCTAGAAATACAAAGGATATCCAAGTGAGCCATGAATAGAACTGTAATAAAAAAAAAAAGAAAGAAAAAAGAAAATATCCTGATAAAGCACTTAGTTGTATATCACCATATTTTAAAAAGCAACACATTTGTTTTGTTACCATTTATAATGACAGACAAATGCTATGTGCTTCATGGATCAATACCTTTTTATAGTTTGGAAGTTTTACCCAACAAAAGGTTAACTATTGTAGAATTACAACAGAGCAAAGCTTGCTAATTGTGGTATGACCTGATACTACATCTCAGTGTGGTTGGAAAAACAGTTGGCCAATTAAAAAATAATGGAAAGCACACAAATAGCCCATGAGAAAAGTTTCAAACCTATGATGAGATTCAAAGATAACTATTCTTATTTTACCGACAAAGCCCTTCTGTAATCACAGAAAATGTAATCCCTAAATTAAACATTTATTTATGGTTGAAATCAAAAGAACCTCTCACTAGGCTTCAGATCTAAAACACATTACAGGTGGTTTTAACAAGGAGGAAATGCAACTGGGCTGGCATTAGCACTGGTGGCCTACACATATATGAAGGCGTCTGTGAATATTTATAGGCAGGCAATGTTGTTCCCACTATTTCATGAGTGGTGATGATGGGAATAGGAAGCACTGTGACAGAGTATGCTCCAGGGACACAGGTTTCTTGACTTTTAATCTAAAACCGTCAGTACAGAACACTGATAAACGCCATTGGTCATTCAGCTCCTCCCTAAAACTTACCTTTTTATGGAATAATTCACAGTAGCTAATGAAGGTAACACGGGCATGGATGATTCACAACACATGCTGGCCTGCTTAAATCTGCCTTCAGGGGCACTGTGTTGTTACAATGGGAGCCTCTCCAATGGGGCAGATTCCAGAATGACTATTTTCGGCTCCTGGGTTGGGAACTTCTGAATTCTGGGGCTTGACAAATGAAGCTGAGTAGGGCCAACTACTATTGTTTTGGGAAAACAAAAAAACTACTCCAAAAAATTGTTTCCAGAGGGTGCAAAATAAAAGCAGCTGCTCAGCAATCATGAACACCTCCTCGCTTTGTGTGTGTAGGTGTGCACATGGCAGGGGAAGGGGGGTCCCCATGAGTCGGGATTAACATATTTGATACATCTTAGTGTGCTTGTAATACATAGAATAACTATCATTATTTTATTCTTAAACTATTATGTGAAGATAGATTGCACAAGAAAACCTTCAAAAATGTTTTGAGCTTATTTTTGAGAGAAAGAGACAGAGAGTGAGAAAGAGGAAGAGAATCTCAAGGAGGCTCTGTGCTGTCAGCACGAAGCTCGATGCAGGGCTCAATCTCATGAACCGTGAGATCATGACCTGAGCCAAAATCAAGAGTCAGACGCTTAACTGACTGAGCCACCCAGGAGCCCCAAACACTTTCAAATTCTAAATGTGGCTTTCATTATATAAATGTGGCTACCCAAAACATGCTCCTAATAAACCTGAATGGGAAAAATATAGAAGACCTTAATATTACGGACAGATTAATAAATTATTACACGGTGACAGTTCAGAAATCTTCTCAGCTTTTTACAACAGATTAAGTTTTGTCTAAAAGTCAATTTATATATACATCTGGGATATTTAAAAACAGATGTTTTCTGAGAAAAATGAAAAAACAACAACTCCACTTTCCCTAGATTCCTCAAGATGGTACAGAGATGAGTTCCTCCTACCTGCAGATAAAGTTAAACAGTTAACATAAATGGTAGAAACAGTGAAAAACAGTGAAATTAACTGTTCACTTTTAAATGGGGACATGACATTTTTATTTCTGCAGTTGTCATATGAAAAAGGAAACTTATGTATATTGTATTACAAGCCATAATATTTTCTTGAGAGTTTTTATAGAATAATTACAAAAAAACTCAGGAAACAATGCAAATCACAATCTAGTTAATGAGAAAAACATTCAGATCTCAAAGGGAAGAAAAGGCAATAATATTTAGTAGGGTTAACAAGAAGCATATGTGTTCACAGATTAGAGAAGAATAAATATGACACAATAAAAATTTGTTTATCCAAAACATGTTTGTTTTTCAAGGGCCTAATAATTTTAAATGAAGGATAAATAATTAAATGATTATCAATATGTCAGGCCAATTATGGATACGCCCTACATATCTAATATATGGCATAGTCTCTTATGTTTCCATTTTGGCTAGTGTGGCTAGTACTTGATTTACTGTCAGAAACTTCAAAGTCTAAGTCTCTAAAGGTAGACCCTTGAGTGATCTAAGACCCATCATTTAACTTCTATGAATAAAATATTTTAGTAGAATCTTTTGCTAGAATAGCATGAACAAGTTTTATGATATTACTGCAAAGAATGAGACATTGATACTTAAAATGAACCAATATTCCAAATAAACTATCGTATCAACAGAGAGACCAACAATGTTTCTGGAGGAATTCTAGTACCGGGTTGACAGTAGCAAATAAGCTCTGATTTTATCTGCCAGGATACAAATACAAAAGCATATCCCATCAGTTCAGTCATAGATTTTCTGGGGTCCCTGTCCCAGAAACTGATGACTGAGATTAGGTTACACTTGGGTTTATACTTAGAGCTTCTTGGCGGGCTTCCTCAAAAACAGTATAAGGCCAGAGGGTAACCAATGTCAAAAGTGCTGGATTTGGGAAACATACAACACAGGCTACTTTTTTAATGTTTTTTTTTTTTTTTTTTTTTCTAGGGGAGAGAGAGAGAGAGAGACAACGTGAGCAGGGAAGGATCAGAGAGAGAGGGAGTCACAGACTCTGAAACAGCCTCCAGGCTCTGAGCTGGCAGTCAGCACAGAGCCCGATGCGGGGCTCGAACCCATGAACCGCGAGATCATGACCTAAGCGAAAGTCGGACGCCTAACCGACTAAGCCACCCAGGCGTCCCAACAGGCTACTTTTTTAATGAAGGACTCACTGGCAAGATCCACAGAATAGAGCATAAAAATTGGGGTTTTCATTCATGTCCAAAATTTGTAAAACAAAATATATCAATTTCTTTTATCTGAGAGAGAGAGCAAGCAAGAAAGCGAGTGCCCATGCAGGACAGAGGGAGAGAGAGAGAAACCCAAGATGTGGGGCTCAATCCCACAATCCTGGGACCATGACCTATGTCGAAATCAAGAGTCAGACACTGGAAGAGACTGAACCACTCAGCATCCCCCCCAAGAATAATGTTATTTTGCAACTTTTATCTTCTATATTGTGTTTAGCAATACTAAGTGTTTAAGTTTTAGGAACTATTTTCTACAATCTATCTCAAAATCTCTAATACAATCAAGAGCTCACAGAAAAGCCATTAGTAACTACTATTTCTTATTTTACAGTACCTTACAGAAAGGATGTGTATTTTTAGATTAAGGCACACTCTTTTTGCTCTGCTTAGCACATTTTCTGTGATCTTCAAAAATCAGACTATTAAATGACATATTGAAAATGTAACACTCACACTCCACCGATGACACGAATTGATCCAATTCCAAGAAAATCCCCGTTATTTCTTAAGAACTTAGGGACAGAATCTATGTGTTCACTAAACTCTCTGGCTTGTCCACAGAAGTGAGGTTTTTCATAAATAATAACCTGGAAGATTGAAAGAAAATTACTTAACATGCTCATAATTTAGAATAGGTACAAAACTCATTTACTTAAGTGAGACTAAAGACCCCAACATGAACAGGAACCACCATCAATTTTTTTCATTAATATTTATTTACAATATAGCACACTGTCTGATATTCATAAGGATTTATGTGAGTTATTACCATAAAGATATCTTAATAATATGTTTCTGTCATGAGTACACTGTTTGCTGCTTCTTATAATACTAACTGCTTCTCTGGTGACTGCCAGTCACTAGTAAGAAAGAGATACACAAATTCCTGAATTTAAATATGAAACTTCCTCATAAGAAATGATTGAAACAATTATGGTGTTTCTTTTTTCTTTTTTTATATTTGATTCATACGGGTGGGGAGGTAACTATAGTAGAAAACCCATTTCTAGCATTTCATTTATTTTAGATTTGGATTGGTCCAAGTAGGTCTCTTTCACCATTTTGGTGCTCTTTACTTCAGTTATATCTAACTTGTTTTCAAAAATTTTTATCATCATACAAACTGAAAAAAAAAAACCCTCGTAATACTGTTCCTGGTGTGTTCTACATACTAAATTTTCACAGGGTATTGTATTTGAAGTGATGAAGTTTTATTTGGTTTAATACTTTCTACATCTGCTGACCACACTCAAACTAAGAAACAATAATTCTTTGATGAGTAAGCCATCAACTAACATCTAAAAACTTGAAAATGTGACCATCTATGATAGCTATTTCATTCCTATGCCTCTACAACCTGTCAAACTGCAAATGTCCAAGGAAGGCCCAGCCTGTCACCCCTGAAGAAACAGACAGGAGTCACTCAGAGATTGTCACAGCTAATTCTGCATCTTTCAGGCCACTGGTTCAAAACTTCAGCTGCATGTTATCACAATCACCTGTGGAACTTTGAAAGCTTCTGCTTACACCTCAGAACAAAACAGTATCTCTGTGAGTGGAATATAGGAGAATTTTTTTTTTTTTTTTTTTTTTTTACAACTTAGATATGTATGACTCCAACAGACGGCTAAGGTATACTATGCTCAGATACTAAGTTTTATAAGATTCCACATATGTGATTAAGAGAATGGTGGTCAATTCCTTAAGTTAGGAAGGCGATCAAAGGGAGGATTGGAGGAGCTGGGTCTTGTTTTGTAGGACAGGAGAAGGATGGATGAATCTTTGTTTCCATGTCTACCTGTGGAAGTGCTATATACTAATTAAGCAGAGGTCTGCTTGCATCTTTGATCACTGCACTGGTTTTTTTCCTCTCTCTTTTCACACACGTTTTATAATTCCATTTCCTTTCCCAAACTGGGTTTAATCCTGGTGCCTCTACTATTCCCTTCAGATACTTATTTATTCTTACCAACTGACATCTCTCTGACAGGAGCTACCTACCGCTTCTTCTGATCACCTTTGATCTCCTTTCTGGGCATCACTCCCAAAAATCTGCTCGCTATCTCCACTGCAATGTCAAGCTGTCACCTCCCCAGTCCCTCCCCACCAAATCAAAAATCAAACCTATCACCTTTCCACCCTGTAGTAGCTGCTCATTGGGTCTGACTAAGTTGTCAGCAAGACCTCCATCCTTACATACTGACCTCCCTCTTCATCTCAGCATGGGTCCTCATTGATCATTCTGTGCAGTCACTTCCCACCACTCCAACATTCATTAGCTATGCATTTTTAGCATATATGTCAGTCATCATTTTTTTACTTTAATAGTCCAAAATATGTGAAGATTAATACTCAAACTTTTTAGCCTGCTATAAAAGTCTGTTTTAAGACTCACCTTTAAGTTCATAGGCATTTCCACTTTCAGTCCACCCTTAAGACAAGAAATTTTAATATTAGATACATAAAGATTTAGAATATCTGAAAGTAAACTAAGTGACGTATATAAGTTACATAAAAAGTCTAATTAGTAAAGATTACATACCAGTCAGCTTTTTAAGTTGTGGTAAATTTTAAAATTTAAGTACAGAACTCTACAGTAGTCAAAACAGAATCACACTGCTCATCGATGTAGATGGGGGAAGAAATTTTCAAAATATACTTTACAGATTAACCAGTACAAGTAAGTGCATGCAGCTAATGAAAGATTTAATCCCACTGCAGAGAGTCCCAAGAAATAGAGTGGAATTGCTGGATTTTAAAAAGTCTACTTTGGCAGAGTAGGTTTCCAAACCAATGACGCTACATTTCCTCCTCGGAACTGCTCAGGCTTTCTAAATTAGAGTGCTTCCCCTTCCAAGTTCCATCAACACTTTTTATCATACTTACAGTCTTTGTGACCTCAAGGTCGCAGAGCATAAAAGGTAACCCCTTCTTCACAAAAACTAATTCCAGAATTTCCGGTTTTTAATGCTACTCCACATTGTGGTATTTCTTAAAATTTCTTAGGTTTTCTTGGTTTTTATTTTTTTAAAGTCCAGAGCAACTGAAAAATGGTTTATCATTTTCACCTAACATTTAATTGAAGAGTTTGTCCTCAAATAAAAATGTTTGCAACAAAAATAAATACTGCATGCACTTATTATCTTTAAGAGAGCAACCACTGACAGATCTATTTATTATTAATGCTGTGCTTATCATTCATTACTGAAATGGAAAAGCATAATTTACTATAAAACAAATTCAGAACTTTATTCAAAATTTTTGCAGAATGGTACTTATAAGGAAATGGTATGCATTGTAATAAACTTAACACAAAGCAAATTCAGACATTTGTCTTCTAGAAAGTATTAAAATGTTTTCACACAGATATTGTCTGTAATATAAAGAAACGGAAAAATAACATAGAAGTTGCTGATCCAATAGTATACATACTCATTTCTTAAGAGAGAGATGCATGAGCAATCACCATAGCTATTTAATTTTGGACTCATGGGCATTTTGGAAAAATGCTTTTTTTAAAAATATGCTTACCATTTGAAGTGGATGCAATGATTTCATTTCTGTTGCAGAAATCTCAAAGAGCCCATGGTCTTCCTCCAAAACTGTAGCTTGTCCCTTAAAATTAATATCTGGGTAGGCAAGCCAACTAAATAAGAAATGAATAGTTTGTTAAAGGATAATAGGGATACTTTAGTCTTGTAAGAGTTAAAAGTAAAAAGGGGTACCAAAAAAAAAAAAAAAAAAGGCAAAAACCCAAACCAAAACAGAAAACCTTCATGGCAGAATTACAACTAGTAAAACACATTCAAAATGACTTCACTAGAGAGCATATTACAAGAATTAATGTGTTATTAAGTACTAACATTCACACACTGTCTTATAAGTCTATTACAGGTTTTCCAAGCCCTAAGCATTACTTTTCTTAGAATTTTCCAATATTTAAAAGGTGTGACACCTTTGATTCAAGTAGAATTGGAGGAAAAAACATTCTACTATGTTTTCTTCTTTTAAAGTCGGGCAACCAAAGGTAGAATTCTATAAGGCATTTTACACTTTTTTTCCATTAAAGCATTTTACATCTTTGACCCACATTTTTATAATCAATAATCAGTTCCTGCCTCAGGAACAGTATTTGAAATGAGATTCCCAAAAGATCCACTACCTTCTACCTAAACTTGGTAATTACAGACATATCTCATGGACAGGGTCAATTACTGGGTCTGTCCCAGAGCTTTAATCTATGGTTGGGAGAGACAAAGAAAGATGTCCTACAGTGACCCCTAACTTTTACAACAACCATCATCAGAGCAGATGCAAAGAGTGAGAGAAAAGGAACCTGTATTGAATTGGTATCACAGAGTCATGATCTGAGCTCATCTGGAAACTGAATTCAGGTTCTGGGGTACCTGGGTGGCTCAGTTACACATCTGACTTTGGCTCAGGTCATAATCTCACAGTTTGTGAGTTTCAGCTCTGCGTCAGGCTCTGTGCTGACAGCTCAGAGCCTGGAGCCTGCTTCAGATTCTATGTCTTCTTCCCTCTCTGTTTCTACCCTACTCACACTCTGTCTCTCTCTCAAAAATAAATAGAAATGCTAAAAAATAAATAAATAAATAAAAATGTATAAATTCAGGCTCAAAGTAGCACCAATAGTGCAAAAGATACCTCTGGAATCAGACAGGTTTGGCATCAGACCCATGCCCACCAGCTGGTAGCCTGAGACAAATTGTATAATTTCCTCATTTATAAAATGAGTATCTCCACCTGTCTTGCAGGAATAGAGTAATAAACAAAAGGCACCATGGGTCCAGCCCTGTGGAGGCACTCAATAACTAATGACACTGAGACACCCTTGAAATAGTTCAAACTCCAGATTTTTAGGTTGGGGACATGTTTTTATTTCTCAGTCCCAAAATTTGGTGAGTGAAAAGAAGATGGATGAATCTATCAAGAACTATGTCTGAGAATCTCCATCTCTTCCTGGAGCTCTACATCAAAGTCTTAACTGGATCCAAAGGAAGACAAAATCTGTTTTAATCCTTGCGACAGTCTTTTGAGTATCCAAGAGCATAAACTAAAACTTCACAGAAATGTATGTCACCTACTAAAATATGAAATAAAAACTTTGATGGCCATCAATTACTATAATAAAGAGAAACTGATACATACACTCCTGATTTCACAGTGAAGGACACAGATTTGGGGATATTCAGCTCTTCCAAATTGGGGACCGCTCTCTGTATATGGATAGGACAATATGCTGGGTCAGACTGTGGGCAAAGTTCTATCTCTGGAATGCTGCAATCCTGAAAAAAAAAAAAAAAAAGTCTTTGAAATCATCTGGACACACACACAAACCAGCATTCTCAATACCCTGAACATGCAATTACAATTATTCTCATTGTTCAGCTGAATTTCTTCTCAGAAACAGCATAAAGGAAATACTGTTTCACTTTACCAGTTTTTTAAAATGAATTATTGTAAGAAATTACATTAATGACATAAAAACTATAAAAATTAATTGAAAAAGTATTACTTAATTTTTTTGCTTTTTTTTTTTCCATAGTTTTTATTTATTTATTTTGAGAGAGACAGAGAGCAAGGAGGGAAGACGCAAGGAGGAAGGGAGAGAGAGAATCCCAGGCTGGCTCTGTACTGTTAGCATGAAGCCCAATGTGGGGTTCGAAGTCACAAACCCAGAGATCATCACCTGAGCCAAAACCAAGAGTCGGACACCCCTGCTTGGTTTTTAAATGTCTTGTTCTATTAAGCAATCAATGTTCAGTTACCAAACTATGTGAGTGCCAAAAGTCTTTAAGCCTTCCTTCTAGGAAGCATAACAAAGTCAAAAAGAGGAAAGGAATTAAATAAAAGCTAATCTCATGGGGGATATAAAAAATAAATAAGAGGGAGTCACACTACTCCGTCAGTATATTATCTAATTTACATTGACAAAGGAAGTAGGAATTAGAAGTGAGGGTAAAGGAAGTCTGTTTTCCTACTTTCCTACTTGTGGGATTCTATTTATTTTCTTTAATACAAGTTGGTTTGAAGAAGAAAGGCATTATAAAATTTGACCCTACACTCCATCACATACTGTCACCATGTCCTATGAAATCTCTCTTTAAAATTTCCCTTATATCTATCTCTTATCTATTCCCACTGTCAAGGCCTTTTATGAAGGCCAAGACATCAATTATGGGCCTATTCCATGAGTCAGGTATGAACCACACTTTATACAGCTGGGCTTGTTAGAACACCCCTTTCCTTATGACACTCCTTGGCTCAAGACACAAGCACATCAAATTTACATGTGTTTGTCTTCCTACAACATGGCACCAACTCAGAAACCCGTAGGAACCCCATACAACTCTTCGGTCATACTGGTATCTGTGCTAATCCTACTCCCTTTTTTATATGGTCTAAGTTTTATAAATTTTTCCTCCATTGTAACTAAATAGGGAATTTTCTATATTCTTAATTATGAAAATTGTCTAATCATCAGGTTGTAACTCAAAAAGATCCCATCTTTTCTTTGGAAATCAAAACTACAATTATTTTTCCCTCCTCTGAAATTAAAGATGTGCTTCTGTCTGAACACACAAACTCAGTAATCATGAGTGCTTAATTATACAACTGAAACTTTTAGTAGCATAATTCTCACCTAGGACATTGTGAAATTCAAGTGATTATGCTTTAATGAAACAGGTAAATGAATAACAGAGGTGATGTTTATTAGGCTGAATAATTCTATCTTGTATTATAATCAGTTCTGCAATTTATAACTGCATTTTAAAATTTTTTTAACCTTTCTGCAAACTGAGTTTTATTATTAATCATTCTTATTAATATGTACAAGCAAATTAATACATCTTATTTTCAGAAAGCTAATTCTAAAATGCAATACAGTAAAGAGGCATAACCTAAAATATCCTTTGAAGTATTAAAAGTATTTCTTTTTAAAATTTCATTTTACTTTTTTTTTTTTGAGAGAAAGAGAGCGAGCAGGAGAGGCAGAAGGGAAGAGGGGGAGAGAGGGGGAGGGGGAAGAGGGAAGAAGTGGAGAGAGATAGAGAATATCTTAAGCAGGCTCCATACCTAGTGTGGAGCCCAATGCACGGGGACACTCAACCGACAGAGATACCCAGGCGCACCTAAAATTTCATTTTGAAAAATAGCCAGAAATGTCCACAACAGTCACCTGTCAATCTTCAAGGCTTTTGTTTGCTATTAATAATAGAGTTCTATTAACATTATTTGAAATGCTGCCCTATTAATGTTCCCCCAGGGATGTAAAGTACAGTAACAGAATACATAACTAAGTGTCTCACACAAATAAGTTTCCTCTGCATTGTGTTACACAAACAATGCTTGGGTGGTGTACTTTAAAAGGGAAAAAGCTACAAGGCACTTGAGTCCGCCACAACAAAGAAGGAAACAGCATAATGGAAAAAGCATGGTGATGACTAAAAAATGGAAAATAAACAAAAAAAACGCTTATGTTCTCAACTCTCTTTGCCAGAGGACCAGGTTTTTCTCTAGTTAAATGAAAAAGATTTCACTGGTTAAGTTTCACCTTCTTCATGGGAGCTACTCTCACAGAAATAATGTCTCTTCCAAGACTTGATGGATGGAGGCAGTAACACTAACAACTGAAGGGTACTTTATAGTAATCTAGTGACAATAACAGTTTATTCATAGTGAATAAACTCTGCCCCCCCACAACTTTTCTAGTCATGTTATACTTTAAAAATACCTTGATGAAATTCTCAAGCTCAGGCAATTAAAACATTTTGTAGGAATGGAGACAAAACTATAGGAGAGAAACAGGGTAGGAAAGGATTACAGTTAACAAAAACAATTAAGAAAATATAATTGACTCCATCTCAATTACCATCAGTCCCTGATCTAACATCCGATCTCTCTCTTCTCAGTTAATTAATGAAGACAAAACCAAAATTTCTGACCAAGAAAAATGTTATGCCTTTAAAAAGAATATTAAATGCACAGTAAATAGTAATTTGCAATATTCATTTCTAGTAGCTGAGAAAAGAAACACCTGACTTTAGAGTTACTGCAATACTACCTCACCCCTAATTATTTCTGGGAGCAAAGATGACCTTTGAGCAGAACCTACACCTGCTGATAACTGATGGTGTCCTCTGCATCTATTTATAGCGAAGTGAAGACATCATAGAAGTATTATCGTTAAAGAACACTGAAGTTTTGACTACTCAGATTAGAGCAAATAAAAGACAATGAAATAAAATAAAGTTAGAATTGGGTTTAGGCCTAGATGAATTTGAAATCGTAATAATCACCATGACAATGAAGTTATCAATAGGTAAAATTTTGACAAGGTTGCAGATAGGAAAGTTTGACACCTGATTCTTATTTTGTAAAATATTTAGAAAAATGCTAATGCCTTTTCCATTCAATGCTCAATAGTTTTATTTTCCTTCCTCATTAAAAGGTGCTAGCCTGTTCAAGACATGAGAGCACTAACACTGCAATTTAAAACATAACTCCAGGGGCGCCCGGGTGGCTTGGTCGGTTGAGCGTCTGACTTTGGCTCAGGTTATGGTCTCGAGGTTTGTGGGTTCAAGTCCCTTGTTGGGCTCTGTGCTGACAGCTCAGAGCCTAGAGTCTGCTTCAGATTCTGTGTCTCCCTCTCTCTCTGCCCCTCCTCAATGCTTGCGCTGTCTCTGTCTGTCAAAAATAAACAAACATTAAAAATAAAATTAAAAAAGAAAAACAAAAAAATAAAGACTCCAATCACAAACACTGGAAGAAGGAAGAAATGCAAGCATTACTTACTCTTTCTCTTAATATAATTTAAGCTAATGGTGGATGTGCAAATATACATTTCTATATCCATATTCAACAGAAATGAATTTTTTACTTGATTTTATTGTGATTTTTTTTGGGTGGGGAGAAGGCTGCTGTTTTCATCAACTTACCTTTTTTTCCCCACTAGGGTTGGCATGATGCCTGACATTCTCTCTCTCTCTCTCTCTCTCTCTCTCTCACACACACACCTGAAGCTATTTAAATCTTAGAAGATTATACCTACACACTATTTATTTCAATCAATTTCTTGTAAGTTAGCTAATTAAATGAGCACTCTGAGGCTACTTGCTGAACTGACCTGCTTGCAGTTCGGATTTTCAATGCAAATGAACACCCTTGAGGCTGCAGCCAACAATCTCCTTGTGGCACCACCAACATTCACATCCGCATCTAGCAAAAGTGGCTCTGCCAAGAACTTCCTCACATCTCCCACCCGCCCACCCCTTGACTCTCTCAAGATTCCAATCAGGCGCCACCCCCTCCAGGGGAGGTGCCTCTTCTTTGAGCACCCCCAGGGCCCTGCAGAGCATGCTTCCCCTAGACTTGTAGCAATCTCAAGTATGAGTTCATACCTCACTTGTATTTCCACTCCTGTGCCTATCACAGTATAGGGTCCAAAAGCAGAACACATATTTGTGAAGACACAGGCTTATTTGAAGCTTTCCAGGAAGTATTAACTCGCACAAAGTTTATGCAGATACCCCTTTCATGGTGACATTTTTCTGGAAGCTATGTTTCCTTCTTCTGCCTACCATATGCAGCTATCAAGAGTTTAATAACATTGATCCAAATCACTGTGATAGGGTCTACCTCAATTTACTTTTTTAAGCATATAAACAAAAAACTTCATAACTTAAAAAAAAAATATGACTGTCTTATGATTATAATAAGTCATGTACTATTTTACTGCTGAAGGAGCTCTTAAGAATGCCCTGGAGAATTCTGTCCTTATCTGAGATCTGTCCTCTAAACCACTACAATACTTCCCACAAAATGTTTTATTATACTGAGAGACCTTCCTCATGTGAGTATTAAATAGTATTTTCTAAACAGAAAATAAAAGAGCAACACACTTTCCCTTCCTTTCTCCACCCTTCCTTCTCTGATTTCCTCTAAACACTCATACTCACCCATGTACTCACGCACATACTCCTACACTCAGGAGTGGAGATCTATACTAAAAAAAGATATTTGGAGATATCGGCTCTTTTCCTAAAGATGCCTGGTTGAGATATTCCTACTACTATTAAAAAATATATGTGTAGGGGCACCTGGGTTGCCCAGTCGGTTAAGCATCTGACTTCAGCCCAGGTCATTATCTCATGGTGCTTGAGTTTGAGCTTTACGTTGGGCTCTGTGCTGACAGCTCAGAGCCTGGAGTCTGCTTTGGATTATGTCTCCTACTCGCTCTCTGCCCCTCCCCCGCTCTTGCTCACTCTTTCTCTTTCTCTCCTTCTCTCAAAAAGAAACAAACATTAAGACATACATATATATCTATATCTATAGCTATATATAGATAGGTATATAAAGACATATATCTATCTATCTATATATAAAGACATATATATGTATATATATAATGCACAAATTCATTTTATGGGCCAGATTACAGGCAACATTTTCAATTATCATTCACTATAACACTTTATATGCATAAATTCAAAAGATTACCATCAATATAATGAAGACTGGTAAAATCAGCACAAATATTAGCAATCACTTCTAAACATCACTAGGCCAAAGTACAGCTTTACTACTTGACAAAAGAAAATAAATAGGGAGCCAGACCCGCGCCGGAACCATGTTTCGCAACCAGTATGATAATGATGTCACAGTTTGGAGCCCTCAGGGCAGGATTCATCAGATTGAATATGCGATGGAAGCTGTTAAACAAGGTTCAGCCACAGTTGGTCTGAAATCAAAAACCCATGCAGTACTGGTTGCACTGAAGAGAGCACAGTCAGAGCTTGCAGCGCATCAGAAAAAAATTCTTCACGTTGACAACCATATTGGTATCTCAATTGCGGGACTTACTGCTGATGCTAGACTGTTATGTAATTTTATGCGCCAGGAGTGTTTGGATTCCAGATTTGTATTCGACAGACCTCTTCCTGTGTCTCGTCTTGTATCTCTAATCGGAAGCAAGACCCAGATACCAACGCAGCGATATGGCCGGAGACCATATGGTGTTGGACTGCTTATTGCTGGTTATGATGATATGGGCCCCCATATCTTCCAGACCTGTCCCTCTGCTAACTACTTTGACTGTAGAGCTATGTCCATTGGAGCACGTTCTCAATCAGCTCGTACTTACTTGGAGAGACATATGTCTGGGTTTATGGAGTGTAATTTGAATGAACTGGTTAAACATGGTCTGCGTGCTTTACGAGAGACACTTCTTGCAGAACAGGACCTAACTACAAAGAATGTTTCCATTGGAATTGTTGGTAAAGACTTGGAGTTTACGATTTATGATGATGATGACGTATCTCCATTCCTGGAAGGTCTTGAAGAAAGACCACAAAGAAAGGCACAGCCTGCTCAACCTGCTGATGAACCTGCAGAAAAGGCTGATGAACCGATGGAACATTAAGCCATAAGCCAGTCTATATGTATATTATCAAATATGTAAGAATTTGATACATCAGGAGCACGTACTGATGACAATAATCTATACTTTGAACCAAAAGATGCAGGGTGGTCTTATGGTATGTTTTAAGAATCAGTCCAGATGTGTTTTTCCCAAGCCACTTCTCTGAAACCATATGATGGTATGCATTTTTCTTTGAGAGGGTCTATATAATCATTTTCTAGAAAGTATAGTTATCTGTACTAATGTTTTTATATGAAGAACACAGTGTCTTTGTGGTTTTAAAGACAACTGTGAAATAAAATTGTTTCACCTGCTGGTAAAAAAAAAAAAAAAAAGAAAATAGGAAAAACAAAACAAAATAAAAGGTTGTGTTACCTTTAAGACACGTTTGATAGAACCCAATACAAAGTCTCCTGGTGGATGTTTTCTGTTCTGAAGGATCCAATCACGATTTAACACCTTTTCTCCCTCTTCCAACACATATTTCTGACCCTGGAAATGTGGCTTCTCATATAAAATCCAGCTGAATATAAAAGCATGATTATTAATTAAGTTATAATTAATTTTCTAAGAAATGAGGCATAAAACGTTTAAGTTTTAAGTCTGTTAAGTCCACAGACCATCTTACCTACTTAACTTTCAAAACCTGAGTTATTTTTCACAATTAGTATATAAACCTATTTTTAAAACAATGACATATGCTAATTTAAATATAGACATAAGGCATAAAAGTACACACAAGTTGGGAATATTCCTGAACATAATCTATGCCTATGTTTATGTATGCCTGCACTTTCCAGATGGTATATATACAAAGCTATACATTTCTATTAAAAACAATAGCTTAACAATTCCAATTTTTAAGTAAAATGGGAGCACAGGTGTCCCATTTTATTGCATGAAGACAACACTATACCATATCACTTACATCATGAATACTGACCACTGGGTAACTGAGACTGGACAAAGAATTGTGGCTCCAGCATGTGCAAGGGAAATGGTCCATAACAAATGAGGTTTCCCCTCATTTTTACACCACACAAAGAATCCTTCACTTCTTGACCATGTGAGCTAGACAAATGACTTTAAGTATGTGGCCTTCACATTCCTTAGCCTCCCACAACTTTTGAACTTGCTTTCAAAGCTATGCTTCATTTAGCTGATGCCTTCAACTCAACTTGCCAAATCCATCCTGCTAATAATGTAGTTTCAGAATAGTATTAATTTCATATTATATATACATTAGGTCTTGCGACTTACGGCCCATTGGCTTTAAGCACTAAAAACACCCCATGTTTTCTGTCACAGTACATAAAGAGAACAATTAAATTATAAAACACTAATAATATTTCAAAATATTCTGTCAAAAACCAGAGGAAAGGGAATGTGACTTTAATAAAAAATACTAAAGGCATAAACAGTAAGAAAACACACTTAGTTGGGGGGAAAAGGCTACCAAAGTTTAAGAGATTTCTTACCAGCCCCTCACAACTTTTATCAGTACCCCATTCGGAAAGGACCATGATGTAGCATCGGGAATATTACAGTAGATCTCTTGCTTGTATTTACTTCCATGGAGATCATAGATAACCATCTGCAATATACAGAAAGCAGGCACAATAACTAGTTGTAAGAATGCATTTAAAATTCCAAAATCTCCTAGAAAATATCCTAAATATATAGAAGTAATTATTATTACAAATGCTAAGTCTTTGAGTAAAATAATCCCTCTTAAAGTCAGTTAAAAGTATTTAAAGTTCCCCAAACTGAAAGTAACTTTACTTTTTGTTTTCTAAAGTAAGCTCTATGCTCAATGTGAGGCTTGAACTCACGACTCAGATCAAAAATTGCATGCCAAAAGACTGAGCCAGCCAGGCATCCCTAAAGTAACTTTACTTTTCATATTTTATCTTAGATAATAAGAAACTTACGCTTACCTTCCCAGGTCTTGGGTTACACCTCAGAATCTGTTTGTCAACATTCTGAAAGAATAAAAGTGGAAGAAGTAAGTCTTAAGAAACATCAGCAGAAAGATCTATAGCTCACTTTCTTAGCAGTCACAAATCCAATTCATCACATATTTATTTAGGGACCCATTATATGCAAAGCACCCCTCTAGGTAGTACAAGAGGGGGAAGGGCAAATATAAGGGAAAATAATGTATTGTTTGTGTCCTCAAGGAGCTAATAGCTAGAAGGGAGGAACAAAATTTCACATGACTCTTCTAGGTGAAGGACTAAGTTAAACTCATAGGTAAAATAAAAAATGCTGACTTATGGACATCAAGGGGAATGGCACCAGCATGGAGGTGAGGTGATGGCACAGGGAGGTTCCCAAAAGGCTTGTTGGAGGAAATGATGGAGAAGACCTTGAAAAACAGGATTTTAATAAGTGGAAAAAATGTGGCAGGTTGGGGTCAGGGAGTAAAGAATTCCATGAAGAACATACTAAGGAAAAGTACAGTTGTAGGAAACACTGGGTGTATAACCAGAGCATGAGGAGACAAGGTTGCACAAACAAGATATGGGGGTGTTGCAATGCAGCGAAGATGTTCCACTTGACTTGGTAGGTGATGGGGAATTATTAAAGAAACAGTTCTCAAAATCTCATCCTTTGTTTTAAAAAGACTTTGCCTTGCAAACTATTCATTGGTATTCCAGGATAACTATTTGCTACTATGGCTATTCACGGTAAAGACACAGGCTTTGGGAATCGTAGAGAAAGTTCCATGATCTTGGGAATGCCAGAAAGAAAGTATCATGTTAAGTGAATATTCTATGTTAAAAGTTTAAATATTTCTAAGGCAAATAAAACATGAACTGAATTTCAAGACCTTTTCCAGCTGTAACGTTTTCAGCTTTTTCTTTCAATTAGGCTGTTTGCTGCCCCGCTTTGTATGAACAACATGATCAACTACTGATAGGATATTGTCGAGCGATTACTTAAAATATTTTAGAATACTAAGAAATATTTTACTGAGACACATAAGCTCAATGGAATGTAACAATTTCTCCATATACAGTGCCTTGAGAAATTCAGAATGCTGTCACTTAATTTCACTTGAAAACTAAATATTAGCAAAGAAGGGGGAAATAACTTGCTGCTCTCTTAATGCCATTTAAATTGTCTAAGCAGTTTCGCTTTCTCCATTTAACAGTCCAGCTAAAATACAGGGATTATGAAAAATTTCAAATAAAGGATAAAGTAAACTGATATATTTTTAAAAGAATCTTTACACAACTTCAAAACACTGATTTTCTTAATAAGCTTTTAGATCATTCCATGACCCAAAGCACTACTTCATTAGTTAATGATCAAATAACTTACCTCTGTGAATGGGCTTAATCTGCCTGAGACGTCCTGAGCATGGAAATATTTTGACACTGGTTCCTGAAAAATCCCAACAGATCTGGTTCCTTTGTCTGAGGAGTGGGAAGTCTGCAAATACTGATGATAAGCACTCTTTAAAGAAGAATGTAGTTTAGAAGTAAGGTCAGATTTTTGTAGAAATGAAGTCTTTTCTGGCCACAGACCAACTTGCAGGTTGGAGGTAGTAGGTTCATTTGACATTACATATGAATTCTTAGAGATTCCAGTCCTTTCCTGGTCATTATCAGGGTAAAATGTGATGGAAGGATCTGACAGCTTCAAAGTAATGGTTTCCTTCCTTCTAGCCCTCAGGCTTCCTTTATGCAATGGTTCCTCCCCCTCCTTCTCCTCTTCCTCTTCCTCTACCCCCTGTCTGTCTTCATCAAAATTCATCTTTAAACGCTCTGATACTGACTGGAGAAGGGATAAAACAGAAGAGGGCTGGCTTGCACTCTCTCTTGATTTTATAGAGCCATGGTGACCAGGTGAGACCTCGCTGGACAGAATGTCCTCCTGAGAGCTGTCATCCTCATAAATGGGAGACAAAGCTAAGGGGTAAATTTTGTACCTTTTGGCCTCCACTGATAAAAACCCTTCTGAACTATCACTATCGAATGTCCCACCTAATTTAGTGTCCTCTTCAAAATGATGGACAAGGTCAGTTCTGCTCTCAGACCTCTCGCATGTGACAACAGGCATGCTGTTAGCAGATGTATCGGCAAATAGGAGAGTGTGTGTTCTTACTTCTGTGGTAGCACACCTGTCTTCATCTTGAAGAGGCTCATCATATAATATAGTAAAGGAAGAATTTTCTTGTTCTTCCTGAGAAACAAAGGCTAAATTAGATTCTTCTTTTTCATCACTATAATTATAATCTCTTAGTTGGTTATCTACTGTAGTAACAGATATTCTTTTGTCTAGCTTTCCTATGGTACCCTCGGGTTGAAAATCCGGCACTGCCAAAGCTGGGTAGCCTTCATAATCCTTACTTAATGTAGGTGATTCATATCCCCGGAAATAGGAGGCAAGTCTGTTGTCACACGCTATCAGGCCTTCCTTTCTTTCAGGGGGCTCTTTCTCTATTTCTCCAATACTCTCTCCACCAGACTCTTGGGATGTTTTTTCAGGTTCAAATATGAGAGGCACAGCCTCTGCTTGTGTAACAGGAAATTCCAAACCTGTTCCATAGATTTTCTTAACATTTGCCATTGTAGATAATACTCTGTGTTTCCTGACGGTCTCATCAGAATCTTCTGGAGATATTCTTTCCATTTCTCTTGGAGAGGGCATCGACACACTCATTCCAACTGGCTCTTCATCCTCTGTCTTACATGCTTTTTCCACTGCTAAAAAGGCAGGTACTAAAGGTATCGTTTCAGTTTTCCCAATACCCCCTCCAGCAGCCTTCTGGTAAGGTATTTCCAACACAGGCCTTCCAGTCTTTTCAGTGATGCCCTCAGCATCTTTTTCATAGATATTTACCACTTCTAACGTAATGGGCATAACCTCACTTTTGTCCAGATCATCTTCAGCATCCCTTAGGTAAATATCTTCCATTTCTAATGTAACAGGTATCACCTCAGTCTCTGTAATATCCTCTTCACCATCCTCTGGGTAAATATCTTCCATTTCTAACGTGGCAGGGATCACTTCAGCCTTTTCAGTAACCCCCTCGAAGTCTTTTTGGTAGACATTTTCCATTTCTGACACAACCGACGTCATCCCGGTCTTGCCAACATCACCTTCAGCATGCTTTTGGTAAAGAGTTTCTAATTCTAATGCAACAGGTATCACCTCTGTCTTTGCAATATCCCCTTCGGCATCCTTCTGGTAAATATTTTCCATTTCTAATGTGGCAGGCATCACTTCGGTCTTTCCAGTAATTACCTCAGCATCTTTTTGGTAGGTATTTTTCACTTCTGAAATAACAGGCATCAGGTCAGTTTTGCCAAGATTTCCTTCAATATCCCTCATTTTATAAGCTTTTTCCATTCCTAAAATGGCAGGTAATCCCTCAGTTTTTCCAATATACCTCTCAGCATCCACTTGGTATACTTCTCTCACTTTAAAAATGTCAGCTGTTGGCTCAGTTTTTGTGACATTCAATTCGGCATCCTTTTTATGTGCTCTTCCCATTTCTAACATAGGAGGGACTTTCTCATATTTCATAATATTCAATTTAGCATCTTTTTTGTTTGTTTTTCCCAATTCTAACATCGAAGGTCTAAGCTCCATTTTTCCTATATTTACTTCTGTGTCTTTTTTGTGTACTTTCCCTACTTCTGACATTGTAAGGAGTGTGTTTTTATTACTCTGTCCTGACAAGCTTTTTTCAGATATACACACAAGACTATCAGAAAAACTGCTCTTGGATGTCCCAGGTACATGGATGTCATCATTTGCAAATGGAGGCCATTTGAAATTTAATACAAGACTTTTTGTATCCTCTGCTCCAGTTTTGTGATTATCCACACACTCTATTTCCACTCTATCTTTAGAGTCCTCTTTGAAAAATAAATGTGTTTTTACCTTATCATCTAACCCTTTACGGGGTGTGTCTTCGGCTAGTAAAACAGTATCTGATTCCTGCAAATTTATCCTATCGGACTGTCCAGCTCCATTTCCAGAAAGTGGGGATTTTTGGTAGAGAACAATTTCTCTTCCTTTAATTGACTCTGTGTCCTTAACTAAGTTACTTACAGAGAAGAATCTACCTAATATTTTATTCTCACTAATTTCACATGTGCTTTGATTTGCTGCCTGTTCAGACACTAAGAACTCCCTTAATGTATCATGTGGCTTAACACTATCATTGTTCAGAATTTCTGAAGTATTAGCCTGAAGTTCAGAATCCCGGGTATCCTCAGTATCTTCAAAAGCATCACTTGTCAGATTTTCTTGGGCTGAATAAATAATCTCACTGACTAATTCCCTAGCCTGATCTTCTAACAAACAAGATAAATTCATTCTATCAGAATCAAAAAGGAGACTCTTCTCACCAGCTGTAGGTGAAACACAGACCTTTTCTTCTCGGACATCTGACCTGCTTTCCATGCCCTGCTCTTCCAAATGCTCTGTTAGCTGGATCCCTGTCAGTGTCACTTCTGACAGGTTTTTCTCAGGGATGTCTTCTTTCAGAGTACCTGGATTCATTATGCCGTCTATGGCTATATGCTCCTGGCAGGTATCAACTATGTGTTTGGATTTTAATTCTTCCCTGACAGAGATAAAAATTTCACCAATCAATGTATCAGCCTTTTTAAGTAAACCACTTCTGAGGTCCAAAAGTTGGTCATGTGCTTTTCTCCTTGCTTTTGTGTGCTCAGCAGAGGCTTCAGAACACTGCTGGCTTGAGCTGTTAACTGACGCTGGAGCCCCAGCAACTGCTCCAATCTCTGCTTCCATGGGATTGTCAAATTGGGCAGCAGTTGGGAAATCAAGAGACATCTTCCCAGTAGGATTCCCAAAATGTTCGTGAAAAGGGGTCACTTCTGCCCCTGTTGGGACAGATGTTTCAAATTCCAAATAAGACCTATTAGGGTGCAGCAGGTTAGTTAAAGAGGCACCTTCATGTGTGGCATCTATGGTAACTTTTACAGAACTGAATTTGTTTTGGTGATTATGTGAGCTTAAAACCATGCTAATTTCTTCAGCATTACCAGAGGGGGACATGCTATCAATACTACCACTTAGAGAATGAGTATTCTCTTTATTTCTGTGAGATAAGGCTTTCTTTTCTGATGTCAGCACAGGAACATTGTGAAAGTGTGAATCCTCAGATGCAAAAGCCTTTTTTCCCAAACTTTTATCAGAATCCAGAAAAGGTGAATTTACTTTTGTGCTGTCAGTTTCTTGGAATTGTGGGGAAGCAGTAGTTAAGCTGAGTTTTGCCATTTCTGAGAAACCAGAAATCTTTCTAGTCCCACAAATATGTGAAGGTTGATGAATCACATAAGCATTGGCTTCATAATTCTGTGCCATTTGCCTAGTTACTTTTTCATCATGAACAGGAGGTAAAATCTCAGATACACTACCTTTGGGAAAACCAGGGGGATAAACTAAGGCTTTTGCCTCTGTTTCGGGCATACCTTGATATTTGGAGGCAGGAAGAGAAACCTCAGTTTGACAATGGTCTTTAAGCCCAGCAGCTGAATATTGCTCTTTAATCTCCTGATGACCCATCGATTGAAAACTTTTGTCCTGTTCAACCTCTAGGGAAGTTAATTCTGATAAAATAAGCTTTCCTGGAACATCTGTAACTTCAAATGGAGAAGAAATCTTATCCTGAGAAATATCTCTGGGCTCTGTTTGGGAAACAGTGATCTTGGAGAAGGCTATAGATTTTTCCCTTACAGAATGCAACTCCACAGGAACACTGTTCTGACCACCAACTTCCATCTTTGATAAAATTTTGGCAATGTCAGGTTCGGCTTCCAAGGAAAGAGAACCAGACTTCTCTGTAGTGCTCTTATTTGCTCTAGTGTTTGAAAGCACCAATTCTTCTTCAGCAGGGCCTTGAGATGAAATGGAACTGTTGTCCTCAGAGAGGCTTTCACACTCCAATCTTGAGTCGACTTCAGGTACATGAATGTCTCTGGCTTTAAGATCTAGTGGAACCTGGCAATTTTCACCTTTAGGAAAAACTTCCTTGGACTCAAGAGTTGCAGATACATGCTTCAGATGAAGGCAAGCAGAAGTACTCTTCCCATCTACTGCCTCAACACGATTTGCCACATTTTCTTCTTGACACTTACTGGGCTGACTGGAAATATCAACAATGCTGATATCCCCAGTTTCAGTGAGCACCGAACACTCATCCTTTATAACAGGAATATCTAACTTGCTAGGCATACCAACTCTGGAAACAAAGGTGGGAGATGAAGTATTGAAATCTGATTTTTTACAGTCAAGGATATGAGGTGTTCTGACATCAAGTGATGCTTTGGCTTCTTGAAGACTCTCCGCGTCAAGAGGAGATTCTGAAATGTGATTTCTGTTAGGTTCAAAATTCAGTTCAGGTGCTATTCTATTTTCTAAGCACGCTACAACTACTGATTCGCTGATGTGTTTTCCAGAGGCAGGATTGTTTTGATTTATTCCAACCATGTGAGGCGTTTTGCCATGTGGCCTAAAACTGGATCTTTTGGATTCTGTTACAAACAACTGGTCAGTATCTTTGGGTAATGGCTCAATTCTACATTCTGGAGCTTTTATGTGACTTGAAGCTGTGGATTCACTAACCAAGGTGCCTTCTATTTCTTGTCTGATTTCTGTAGCAGTCAAATTTTTCTGTGAGTCTTGGGAAGACAGTATATCTCCTTCACTTATAGGTTCTGTGTCTGTCACAGCATGTCTCTGAAGAGCTGTGGTGCTGGTGTGACTGTCAGCCCACTTGGCTGAGTTATCAATGGCTTGCTTGTCAGAACACTTACTTTCTGGCAACTGCAGCTCTTCATGCCTAATGGACTTACTTGGACTCAGCAAATCTGCACTGTCCTGTTTGGTAGTGTCACTCCCATCAGGTTTACTAGAAGAGAAGTCAGAAACAGCAGGGCTCTCATGCTCAACACGTTCTTCTCTTTGCACCCATGTCCCGTCACTCATCACTGAGCTGTCTTTCTTTATCGTAGTTTCTGTCATAGTTACCCCCTGAAAATCTGGACTGCAAGGAACTCGGCTACCGCTCCTTCCTGTAAACAATGCTGAGCATACCAAACTTCTATCAGTCTGAGAAACTGGTGAACAGCTTAAATGGTGTTGTGAGTCAGATTCACTGGCAGCGGAGCTGGAGTTAGTCACAGAAGAAGGGGATGACCTACTTCTCACAGGTCCCCCAGGATCATTTTTATTTAAAACATTCATAGACGCAGCAGTATTGGGCAATTCTGGACGGTCCGTCAGATGGCTTTTTGTGTTAATATTTATTTTGCTACAGTCAGAGTCTTCTAACAGGCCTTCAAGCAAATGTCCTTTCACAGATATGTCTGTACTAGCTGATGACAATGACGACACCATCCTAGCCTCAATGTCGCTTGTACAATGGATGCTTGTACTAGAGTCAGAACTTTCATTTTCTCTGTCCAAGGGATTCACAGTTTCCAATGAAGTCTGGTGCTTCAAATATTTCCTCATTTGTCTGGGGCCTCGATATGTTGCATATGTTACTGAAGGCCTCTCTGGTTTACTATCCAGTTGTCTGTAAAAAGAAAGAGCACAATAATATCATGAAATATAGTAACACTTAACAGTAATCCTAGAAGTTATGATAAAGTGTATCTTTTAAATACTCCTAACAAGTATTCAACTGGAGAAAGAAATCCTAAAATGTTTTAGTTAAACCTGTCTTTACTAAAAATAATGAAGATTTGACAAGGAGCATGTGAACATCAAGGCAGCATGAATGTTTGAGCTCCTTACAACAATTCCCTCTTTTAAAACAATTTTTTGTTAACATTTCTATTCAATTTTGAGAGACAGAGAGAGACAGTGTGTGAGCCATGGAAAGGTATAGAAAGAGGGAAACAGAATAAGAAGCAGGCTCCAGGCTCTGAGCTGTCAGCACAGAGCCCAACACGGGGCTAGAACTCACGAACCATGAGATTATGACCCGAGTTGAAGTCAGACACTTAACTGACTGAGCCAGCCAGGTGCTCCAAAACCATTCCCTCTCACCTGACTACCTACATCTCTTTCACAGTGGTGAATAGAGAGAAAGTGGGCTGACAAGTCCAAGGCCTGGGTTTTAGTTACAATCTCAAAGACGTGTCTGACCAGAAAGAACCACACTGCCTTACTGCCTCATACTGGTACAATTCATGGATATGTCACTGATTTATCCACCATGTCAGAGCACCATAGTAAGCTTCTCTTCCTTTACTCTTAGATATAAATTTGAATGGCAACTTCGAGCACATAGGAGAACTTTTAAAGGAAAACAACTAGTAAGATGTCTAACATCAAGCACTCAGCATATATTTGTTAACTCAATGACAGAATTGCCTTAAAAATCCTATGAATTAAGTTCTTCAATTAGTGTAGTATTAAACTGCTTGGATAAATGTATGAATCAAAAGGGACTTCTAGAAAAAGCTCTCTACTTCTTCTCAGCCCCAGCACAAAGTTCCTGAGGCTCTCAGCATCCAACTTCCTTTGAAGAATCTATTGCTGGGAGTTCTCATGCTCTCTGATGCTGCCTAATAGCCCTTGACACACACCATTGTCTTCCCCTCAATTCCAGCCCCAGAGAGAAACTCCAATGTCTAAGACTCAGTTCACAGGTCATCTCCAGAACAAACAGATCCCAGGGCCCCTTTCCTGCTAACATGGGCAGTTAGCCTCTGATCTGTGGGTGAACAGAGCATTTGCCATATCAAACTATAAAGATCTAGGCACTTAATGTATTTTTGTCACTTGCCTTGTGGATATTTGAAGGAAGACACTGTGTCTTAATCATCTTTACATTTGTAAATGCCCCCCTCCCCAAATTTGGCAAATGGTACATATTTACTAACTTTTGGGCGATGAATGACTAAAATAAAGCAATAACTGTAAATGCTTAATGTGTAATTTATTCCAGACTGTCTTCATTGTTATAGATTATATAAAAGTTTTTTAAATTCTGAACTCTAGATTCATTTTACTATCCTGACACTAAAAATGTATGGCAAAAATATCTGATGTTCTATTTTTCTTTAAAAAATTTTTTTTAATGTTTTATATATTTCTGAGAGAGAGAGAGTGTGAACAGGGGAGGGTCAGAGAGGGAGGGAGATACAGAATCCAAAACAGGCTCCAGGCTCTGAGCTAGCTGTCAGCACAGAGCCTGATGCGGGGCTCGAACCCACGAACCATGAGATCATTACCTGAGCCGAAGCCCGACGCTTAACTGACTGAGCCACCCAGGAGTCCCTATTTTTTTTTCAAACTAAACATAAAATTAACAAAACATTATAGAATGCACATGAGTAACTAAGAAATCCAGTCGCTAGTATTTCAATATCTAAAATAATACTTTTTCTCCCCTACTTTAAAGCAGTAATATTAAGAACACTAGACTCACCTATATGATAAAACAGAAAGTAAACCTCCTCTGACATGTCAAATTTTTACCAACTGTGCCCCTCACATATTTTTTGAATTTTAGCTGAAATAATGTATTTCAATCTATATAATTGCTGGTCCCCGAAATCCTATCACACTGCTATTGTAAAAACTTGTATTGGTTACATGCATATTTTTACTGTCCATTACAAACAGCTAAAGGAGATGACTAGGGAAAAGTTTTGCCTTATGAAAATGGTTTTAGCTGCAGCATGAGTGTCATGCTAGATCAAAGGCTATTATGAAACAAACTAAAAAATGAATAAGGTAATTGTGTATGAAAACGTGCAGAGAAAAATACATACAGGTAGAGTAATACATACAGGTAAAGTAATGTTATTGGTGAAATCTGATATCAAAATATATTAATTATTCAGAAGACACAAGAGCCTTCAGAGCAAGATATAAAGATCCAGAAACCCAAATAAATGAAAAGAAATTTTTGGTCATTTTTTTCTTTCAAAGCTTTAACGTTTTATATTTAAAATCTACTCTCAACAGGCTGCAGTATTTTTTCCCTCAAAAGATAAAATAATTCTGAAGAAGTGCATATACAAAGAAATGTACATCATGTCCAAAGAAATAGGAAATAAGATAGGAATCAGAATTTAAGTAAACTGACATTCTCTTACTATCAACTCCCTCCTAAAGAGACCTTAGGACATTTTATCATGCATCAAATCAATAATGCACCTTTTGATCTGAAAGGGCTTCTAATAAAATAAACCATATAGAAAAATCCATTACATGTCAACTCACTGTTATAATGCCTTTTGGTAGTTTTGGAGTCCTTTCAGGGGCAAGGGGAATCATTTTTCTCCTTTTTTAAAAGACTTACTGGATACTTTCAACTAAAATGATTACACTGATTTATAGGAAGTAGTTTAAATTTCTAACTAGATAATCTCCTGCAGCACCTGGTGAAAATGTTATATACCTGAAACTAAAATATACATTGCTTATACTGAACTACTATATTATCATGTTTAAAGTGCTGAACATCAAAGTTTCAAGCTTAGCTTCATGTACTGTAATTAGTTGTGTCAGGTACTGATGAGCTACACTCCCTCTTTTTAAAAGATTAGTCATGTCGCCAATGTAGCCTGTTTTCTATAACATTCTTTCTCAGGTTGAAGTTGAGTCTCCATAATTGAATAGTGTAAGAATATAAAACTGTCCTTTAATTGCTAAGTTTTTGCCTGGTAAATTAAATAGAAAACTGAAATATCAAAAACATGGAACTTTAAAAATAAAATCTGAAGATGGAAAATAAAACAAAGATATTTTTTACAAGCTGTACAGAGGAAATGGAGTATTAATTTCACATATTATATAAATTGACCATGGGATCTACAGCTTATCCTACACAAAGTTATATGATCCTAACAGTAGAACAAAGTAAGACAGGCTCTCTGCTCCTCTCCATTTGACAGACAGCCACATTTTCTTGTACAGTGACAGATTTATCTCTGAGACTTGATGGTAAAGGCTAAAGTAAATGGATTTGGCTGTATTGGTGTCTGATCACAAGGGCTGCTTTTAACTCTGGCAAAGTCGATACTGTTGCCACCAATGGCCTCTTTGTTGACGTCAATTATAGGATCTACATATTCTGGTGTGATTCCACCCATGTCAAACTCAATGGCACAGGCAAGGCTGAGAATGTGAAATTTGTCAGCAATGCAAAGTCTATCTCCATCTCCCAGGAGTAAGACCTTGCCAACATCAAATGGAGAGATGCCAGTGCTGAACATGTTGTGGAGTCCAATAGTGTCTTTACCACCATGGAGAAGGCTGGAGTTCACTTAAAGGATGGAGCCAAGAGGGTCATTGTATCTGTCCCTCTGTTGATGCTCCCATGTTTTGATGAGTGTGAACTATGAGAAGTAGGACAAAGCCCTCAAGATCGTCAGCAATGCCTTCTATACTACAGCTGCTAGGCCTGTCTGCCCCATTTCATCCATGGCAACTCTGGCATAGTGGAGGGACTCAAGACCACAGTCAATGCTGTCAGTGCCATCTAGCAGACTGTGACAGCCCCTTTGTGAAGCTCTGCTGTGATGGCCTAGGGGCTGCCCAGAACATAATCTCTGTTTCTATTGGCACTGTCAAGGTGGTGGGCAAGGCCACCCCTGAGCCAAGTGGGGAGCTCACTGGCATGTCGTCAGGTGTCCTTATCCCCAATAGATCAGTTACAGATCTGACTTGACACCTGGAGAAAGATCCCAAATACAATAACATCAAGAAGTTAGTGAAGCAGGTATTGGAAGGTTGTCTCCTGCATCTTTAACAGAATCCCCACACCTTCGATGCTGGGATTGGCATTGACTTCAATGACTACTTTGTCAAGCTCATGTCCTGGTACAGTAATGAATTTAGCTACAGAAACCAGTGGTGGACCTTATGGTCCACATGGCCTCCAATATCCATGAAGTAAGAGCCCCCTGAACCACAAAGTCTATTAAGAGCACAAGAGGAAGAGAGAAGGCCTCAGCAGCTAGGGAGTCCTTGCCTCAGCTCATTCCCAACATAGAGACTGTCCTGATCTGGACGTTGATGTTTCCATCCCAGGCTCCTGAAACTTGTCATGTATCACCAATAAAATACACTGTACCCAGAACAACAGAAAATATATAGAGAGAAAGAGAGTGAGAGAACAAAGTAACATACCTAGACATTTCAAATATTTAAGGAAGTAGACATACATACATATTGGAAATATGAACAGGTTTTATGCATTTTAGCCCAATATATACCTACCTATCATGTGAAGATTTATTAAGCCTCTAGGTACCAAACATACCTGTATTCCTTTCTGTACATATTCCATATACTTGCTATTTCAAAGGTCAACCAAAGACATGTGTCATTCTTCAAAGGAAATCCTAAATAGCAGCCTAAAAATAATAGCCTTAGAGGAAAGTATCTAACTCACTTTAAGAAAGTATGATTAAGCTACCTTTTCTGCGTTAAGATATATTTCCTTTCAAATTACAGTTAAGAATATCTTCCCTCTTAACAGGGAAGGCTTCTAACTTTTCCATATAAAGAAAAGCTGTGAATCCAGCAATTTGTTTTTAATCACAATAAAGCTTT